AGGCCTAGGTTAGCCCAATGGCCACTCTGTCTGCCTCCAGCCTTTCAATTTTCAGCTGTACCTTGTCAGAACAATCTTCATAAAACACCACTTCTTTATGTCATCATAAAAACCAAACAAAAATGTAAAACAACTAGGGTTGTGTTAACATTTAACACAGTTCTTCTAATACCCTAGCCTCCAGAATATTTTCTAAGATTTTTTACCAGACAAATAAAATACATTTTCCTAAATTTGAGCCCATATGTGAATGTAAGTCTTCTGGCTTGTTCTGATACTCTATTCAATGAATTGCCCTTGAGACTCTTAGAACTATGTGGTCAAGAATTAACACAGGTCAGCTCTCCCTACAGACTTTTGTCTTTTGGTCCGAGGCAGTGCCAGTCTTCCAGGTATCCAGGCTTGAAACAGTAGAGTCAGTGGGGACTCATATTTCACCCTATTCCTCTATGCAGTCAGTTAACTTTCTTGTGTTAATCCTTAGACGTTTCCTTTACATCTGTTTCTTTATAGGAGTCTGGTCACTGCCAGAGTTTAGGCCTATGTCTTCTCACAATGGCTTTACTGCAATAATCTTCAAATTGTGTCTTTTGCCTTTAGACTTACAGTGGGGTATTTGAGGCTTCAGCTATGTCAATAGCATTTGTTGAGACCTAGTATGTCCTAGGTATTTGTATATATTATTCTCATAAAAAACCCTGCAAGGGAAGTAAGAAAAACAAGTTCATTGAGTACTTTGTTCAAGATTACACGGCTAGTGAAGGACAGAACCAGCAAGATTAAGACATAGGCCTAAGTGGCCCATGTATAGGTAAGAAAAAGATAACAGGTAAAATTTCATTTTTTTTAAACATTTATTCATTTTTGAGAGACAGAGCATGAGTTGGGGAGGGGCAGAGAGAGAGGGAGACACAGAATCCGAAGCAGGCTCCAGGCTCCAAGATGTCCGCCCAGAGCCCAGTGCGGGGCTCAGACTCACGGACTGTGAGATCATAACCTGAGCTGAAGTCAGCCGCTTAACCGACTGAGCAACCCAGGTGCCCCATAACAGATAAAGTTTTAAAGTTCTGCGTTTGTCTAGGGGGAAAAAGGGGGAGACAATACATTGGAGGTAACAGGCAAGTGCTTTTAAGTAGGGACTTTTATTTTACTTACATGATTTTCTCTCCAGGGTTATTCTAATTGTCTGCCATTATTTTAAGTGCATTTATCATCCTGGATAAAAGTTCTATTTGATATTTTTATAAAACGATGACTCCAATTTCAAAAGATACTTGAGTGGCTATTTGGTTGCCTTCAAGGTCTTGAGATTATTTGTGCATTTCATGTGTCTGACATGCATACTGACAGACATACAGCAGACTCAGTGAATGTTGGCTGGTTGAGTGAAAGAATAATAATGAACACTTTCAACTTTTACAACATTTAGTTCACTCATTTAACAAACTCATAAGGTAGGTTGCATTATCATCTCCATTTTACAAATGAGGACACCAAGACACGGAACTTGCCCAAGTTCACACACTGTATTATTGGTGGAGCATGGATTACAAGCAGAGATTGAGGCAACTCACTCTCAAGCCCCTGCATTAAGCCATAGTAGTATCCTGCTTCTTGGCTCATGGGAGAGTTACATCGCTCAGGTTGTTAGTAGAATAGTATATCCCTCTTGATGCTTCACATTTTAAGATGTAGGGCAAGGTCCTTAGCCTTGGATCTTTGTACCCATGGTCCATTGACAGGCCCTAGGGGTCCATGGATCTCATGAAATTTGATTAAAGTTTGTGTGTCCCCATAAATGCATATTTCCCTGGGGGCAAAGACCCATGCCTCTCATCAAATTCTCGAAGAATTTTGTAATAACTACAAGATTAATCACCATGGACATAAAGAAATATTTGGGAATTTCTTGAGACAAAATTAAAATTATTAAATGCCCAAAGATACTTAATAGGTCAGTTTATTTGAAGGATTGTCTACATTTTATTTCTGCAAAGGAGACTTTGGTTAGGGGACTAGAAATTAATATTTATTAGGCACAACCAAATGCCAGGTATTAAACATATATTAGCTTATCTTAGTTCTTGTACCATTACCAAAAAGATGCTGTTTTACAATGTAGAAACTGAGGCTTGGAATGGTAAGACACATACCTGATAACATACTGGTAAGTGGTAGGACTGGGGCACCCAGAGCCAAGTCTGAAGCCAGTATCACCCCACTTCATGGTTAGACGCAGCTGCTAAGTGCCAAGGGCATTTGGTACAACTAACCTTGCTGGGAGATAGGTTTTTAGTGATTTCCTTGCAACCCTGCCTAGAAATAGTCTATCATATGGCATCTTAAGTCCATTTTGAAGGACAGAAGTTCAGTCTGGCTTTAAGATCATGTCTCATGTGGCCTCGTGTCTCATTTACATCTCTACATTCTGTTCTCTGGGATTCATTCCCGTGTAGGCAAGTTTGTCACAGCTGCAGTGGGAGCGGTTTAGCTCCCAGAGTGCGAGGTGTCTGAACCACTGACCTGGATGACTGGTTAGAGCATACTTCAGGCTCCTCATGGCCACAGGCCTATGCTTCCCATCTCTGTTGTCCATTTGAATATACAAACAGTCCTCCTCCTACTTCAGCTGCAGTGGACTTTGCAACATCCTTGAAACACAAAACAGGAACTCTAGTGGTTTGTTTCCTTGAGCTGCTATACAATGTTCTTCTCCTTGACTGGTGGCTTTTATTCCACCGCCTGGTTTGCCTGAAAATCTCCCTATGCAAAACCACTTGTTTGTCGAGCACTGCAAATCACAGATACGGCCTTTGAGATCTCTTGAAACTTTTCTAGTCTCATAGAGTAGCCTATACCACCGGTGCAGGAGGGTTCTAGAGAAGTAGGTACGGCCGTCCTGCAGTGTGCTCTTGTAACAGGTGGAAGGGGGAAAGATTGCTGTCTTGGATTGAGTGTTTCTCCAGCTTTGGAGAGAAGTGGATCCTCAGCAGAGACTGGCTTAGCTCCCAGAAATTCTCCCAGTCTCTGCTCCAAGAGACCTACCCTAGCAGTGCTGAGTATCAGTCGACTGGATTAGGATGATCTCATGGCTATGCTCCTTCACCTGGCTGGAATAGGCTACCTGGGGGAACAGAGTGGGGCGGATCAGAAGAGGATGTTGTGGAGCCAGGATCATCGTGGTAGCAGAAGGAATTAGTGAACATTTACTTAAGTAGAAAAGCATTCCATATAACACTGAGGAAAACTAAAACAGAAACCTCATACTTCACACTACAAATGGATGATTTGTTTTACAAAAGATAAATCCAGTTTTCTTTAAATTGTGAATTATCTCTGCTAACATTCTAAATGATTCTATTGTTTTCCTAAAAGGAGAAAAAAAACCTTTCCAAGTAAAATTTCCAAAGCCCATTTATATTTGATTTTATTGTCAAAAATGTGTATAGATTGTTTCCTAGGACTACCATAAGAAAGTACTACAAATTGGGTGACTTAAAAAAAATAAAACAGACATTCATTGTCTCCCAGTTCTGGAGGGCTAGAAATCTGAAATCAAGGTGTCAGCTTGGTCACGTTCCGTCTGAAACCCTTGGGGGAATCTTTCCTTGCCTCTTCCTATCTCCTGGGGGCTTACTGGCAATCTTCAGCACTCCTAGGCTTGTAGATATATCACTCCAGTCCTCTGTCTTCACATGGCATTCTCCCTGGGCATCTCTTCATATAGTCTTCTCTCTGTTCATGTCTGGGTCTGTGAATTCCACCTTTGTATAAGGACAGGTGGATTGGGGCCCACCCTAATAGCCTCATCTTAATTTGACTACATCTGTAAATACCTCTTTAGGTCATATTTTGAGGTACATTTAGGGATAGGATTTCAACATATTTTGGGGGGGGGGACAATTCAACCCATTATGACAGCTAAAAATGCTATTATATGAAAGCATATGACATTAAAAAAATACAGTTATCTTTACAAATGAGTCTGTGTGTTACTCTGAAATATTGCCTTCTAACCTTTCAAAATCTTTTCAGAGGTTGCTGTCTTATTCAGTGATCAAGTGTATTCCTCACTTAATTTATTAGATTTATCTTAATTAGCTGCCTTATCATTTAAGTGCTGCCTAAAAAGTATGTAGTAGAATAAAAAGCTTTGATATGACAAAATATATTACATTTCTGGGATGATCTAAGGCCTTGGATGTGACTGTTCATAATGGTATCTATTTTATTCCTTAGTGTTCATCAATGTCTGCTTTTCTGCCCTTGTTCTGTGCGATGTTTCCCTAGGCTTTTAGTCTAGTTTTGCTCTCACCCCACTTGGAATCTCAAATCAAGCTTAGGGGTCCATTTAATAGACATGCAGATCAAAGAGGGTATAATCAAAGAGGGTAGACCAAAGCTAACAACCTAATCATGGACAAGAACTTCTAGAAAGTTCATATCTGTATACATCTCCCATGGTTGGGAGCACTCACAAAAAGGAATATTACATCCCCCTTAATTTGCACTTATAAATATTGTACATTATCTATATCGTATTTTCTACACATTAAAAGTTCAACCAAGACATAATTGTCAAGCATTGGCAGTAGGCATTACAGTAGTGTACCAGTGACCGTTGTGGTGGCCCAAATTTCCAGCAGCCCTGTTTTAATCCAAGACTATTATTTTCTTATTTTGAAAATAGAGTGTTATTTTCTTACATGACTAAAAAGACTTTACACCTGTTTCTTTTAAATAAAGACATTTATTTAGAGAATTTTAGTAGCATGATAACGCAACCTCACCAAATATTCACAGTTCATCAGGTCAGACAGTAGAACAAGTCTGCGTGAGCTTCTTATGAAGATATGGGTGACCACCTCAATAGCTGCCTCCATCTTCTATCTTATTAGTGGATGGTTCATAATCCAAAATATGAAGTTTTGGGGCTTTTTCTCAAAAAGTAGAAATAAGGAAAATGTCTGAAGCAATGATGTTGACCTTTTTCAAGAAATCTATGAAACTTTAACTGCATATTTCAATCTTGTCCAATCTTTTGTATTATTCTGATTGTCGATAAGAACCAGAGGCCTATGTTGATGATTCTTGATAATTTCAGCAACACTTCCAAAGTACTAGAGCAAGAAAACATAAATGAATTAAACATTGGAATTCACATTAACTTAGAGCTCTGCTCCTCCCATCTTCTCCCACTTTCTCAAGTTAGTCAAAGTTACTAGGTCTCAGCAGACATTCTACCCAAAAAAGTCTAATTTAACAAAGGGTGGAACACTTGAGGTGGCAGACTCTGGCCTTTCTTATATTCGGTAACACTAAAAACACTGGCAGCCTAAATTAGTGGAACCCCTTAGAGAAATTACTTCATTGAGTTATGATGCAATATTTTAATAGTTTTTTATTTGGTAACAAGTATAAAACTGTCATACACTGAGTTTCTCTACATTTTTACAAAACATAGACTATCTGTTACGTTGCATAAATCTGAGATATAAGGACTGATGTAATAAATTAACCCTAGAATTTGGTGTCAGAAGAATTATTTTCCAGATTAATCCATGCTTGTTTTACTTTGTTTTCCTTTTTGAATAGAGAAGCTTTACAAATTCTCATATTTCCATTTCTGCTCTAGCTCCCAGAGCTAATTAATAATTAATTTAGAGGTAATTAATAATGTAATCCATGCCAAGTTCTTGCCATACATATTTATTTTCCCAAATGTTAATTCCTATTGTCTATGGATTTTAAAATGTTCTTCTGGAAAATTATCAATAGTTGAAAGGAACACAAAATAAATATAACACAGAACAGGAAATGAAATGCATTGATTATAAAAAAGTGCTATGAGCTCACAATCATAAATAAATGCATTTAGAGTCGTTTTCAAAAAAGTAGTTATTGTTTTGTCACACTGCCATAAATTTAGCAACTATTACCAATTGATTTTATTGTATTTTAATTTTTAATATAAAGACAAACATCCAGAATTAAAAGTTTTTTAGTTATTTGAATACCTTCTAAATATCTATGTATTGAATAAAGTATTCAGAATACTGGTCAACTTTTTCAAATGAAATACCAGTTGTCTTTTAGATAATTGGCTATCTGAATATTAGGTCAGGGAGGAGAGGTAAGAGACAGGGACCTTCAAGTATCTTCAGTTTTTATTTCTTAGCTTTCTCTTCAATCACTCAGCTCTTTGTCAATCGCTAATGAAATCAATGATATTCATTCTGTTTGCTTGGCATAGCATGTTGTTAAATTGAATGCAGTTGGAAGTTAAATTGATGGATGAAAGAACCAGGAAATGGAATAGCACAATCTCTTTTAAGTGGATTCCAAGCAAAAGTGTTCTGAACCCAGTAAACACAGGAGAGAGTTGCTATAACTATGCAAACATCTCAGTCTGTCATTCTAGTCCCTGAATATTTTTGAGTATTTCTTTGTTGGAGTGTTTGGGCATTTGAAATGTTTGAAATATGGAGTTGAGGTGAGTTGAAATGTGTGAAGTAGGGAGCAGAGTTGAGAGTTGAAACATATTGGATGTAGAATTGAGCATAACTTAGTTGCAATTTCCCTTCAGTGCTCTTTTTTTTCTTTTTTTTTTGTCTATAGTAATTCATTGTTTTTGAGGTATTCATACATGGACAGAAAAACAAACTGATAACTCAAAATCCCATGGTCCATAAAATAAAGCAAATAGATATCAAAGCTATAAAATTACTCAATACTGTATCTATATAATGCCAAAACAACTGCATAAAGTAGTTGAACAGTTAATCAATTGGTTTCTTTTTCTACGCAAATACAGGCAAACAGACTTTTCACAATATCCACATGGTTGACATCATGTAACCAAAGTTTTAATTTTCCATTAAGATGTTCAGTATATGGGAGAAATAACCTTTTTATTGTAGATAACTTAAGAGTTTTAATGGACTCTGTCAGCACTTCCAGATACCATTATAATAATATGCTTTTTTTCCCTTTTATTTCTTTTTTCTTTTCTTTTTTTTTTTTTCTTTTCTTTTTTTGGTATCTATAGGGTGGATATGTAGGGAGTGATAGTGATAAAGACTCTTTAAGCCAAAAGGAATCACTATTTACCAGAGTTTCCTTAGCAGGACAAGAGAGTCCAGAGTCCCTCTGAGAGTTCAAAATATATGAGAGAGTTTCAGGAGTTCTAAACAGGACAGCTCCCTCACCTACCCTTAACCCTCTTAAAGAAGTATTGGACCATGGCCTGGGGAGGCTTTAGAATGAAACCATCCATCCAAAGTCACTCTACCCTACTAGGATCACCATCATCTGCTACCAATGATTCCTACTGAAGAGCATCTATTTTGAAAGATTTGTCAGATAAAGGTTTCAGTGAGAATGACGTTTTTTTCTGAGTAGGAAAAAGCAGACAGTTCTGTTAAAATTTAACTGGTTTTATTTAAAAAAAAATTTTTTTTAACATTTATTTATTTTGAGACAGAGAGAGAGCATGAACAGGGGAGGGTCAGAGAAAGAGGGAGACACAGAATCTGAAACAGGCTCCAGGCTCTGAGCTGTCAGCACAGAGCCCGACGCGGGGCTCGAACCCACAGACCGCGAGATCATGACCTGGGCCGAAGTCAGATGCTTAACCGACCGAGCCACCCAGGTGCCCCCCCCTTTTTAAAAAAATTTTTTTTTTAACATTTATTTTTGAGACAGAGAGAGAGAGCGAGCATGAACAGGGGAGGATCAGAGAAAGAGGGAGAAAGATTTAACTGGTTTTAAATGATAATGCAATCTATATTTTAAAACCCAAGTTTGGTCTTGATCTATGTTTTGTGTCTTCAGTTTCAGGACTTTTTGCATTTTCTGATTATCTGAGACCTTATTAAAGGCAAAATAAAACCCCAAACTATAAAACTCCTAGAAGAAAACAGGGGAAATTTTTCATGAAATTGTATTTGGCAATGATTTCTTGAATATGGCACCAAAAACCGCAGGCAACAAAACCAAAAATAGACAAATATGACTACATTAAGTTTAAAAACTTCTGTTCATCAATGGTCGCAATCAAAAGAGTGAAACGGCAGTCCATAGAATGGGGGAAAATATTTGCAAATCACCTATCTGACAATGGTTTAAAACTTAGAATATCTAAAGAACTCCCACAACACAAAACCAAAAGATCAAATAACCCAACTTAAAAATGGGCAAAGGAGGGGCGCCTGGGTGGCGCAGTCGGTTAAGCGTTGGACTTCAGCCAGGTCACGATCTCGCGGTCCGTGAGTTGGAGCCCCGCGTCAGGCTCTGGGCTGATGGCTCAGAGCCTGGAGCCTGTTTCCGATTCTGTGTCTCCCTCTCTCTCTGCCCCTCCCCCGTTCATGCTCTGTCTCTCTCTGTCCCAAAAATAAATAAATGTTGAAAAAAAAATTAAAAAAAAAAATGGGCAAAGGACTTGAATAGACATTTCTTTAGAGATGATATACAAATGAAAAGATGCTCAAAATCACTAATCACCAGAGAAATTCAAATCAAAACCCCAGTAAGATATCACCTCTCACCCATTAAGATAACTACTATTTAAAAATCCCAGAAAATTTCACGTGTTTGGGAGGCATGTGGAAAAGTTGGAGCCCTTGTGCACTGTTGGTAGGATTGTAAAATGAGGTAATCACTACAGAAAACAATATGGAGGCTCCTCAAAAATTTTAAAATAGAACTACCATATGATCCAGCAATCCCACTTCTGGATATATACTTAGAAGAACTGAAAGCAGGGTCTCAAAGACATTTTCATGCCCATGTTCATAGAAGAACTATTTATGAGAGCCATCAACAATAGCCAAAGGTCCATCAACAGATGAACGGATAAACACAATGTGGTATACAATATAATGGAATACTATGCAGCCTCAAAATGGAAAGAAATCTTGTCATGTACTGCACAGCATGGATAAACCTTGAGGATATAATGCTACATGGAATAAGCCAGTCACAAAAGGACAAATATTGTATGATCCTGCTTATATTAGGTATCTAAAGCAGTCAAATTCATAGAAATAGAAAGTAGAATGATAATTGCCAAAGACTGGGGGAAAGTGGAAAAGGGGAGTTGTTTTCAATGAACATAGAATTTCAAATATGCAAGATTAAAAGCTCTGGAGATCTGTTTTACAACATTGCAAATATATTTAACATTACTAAACTACACACTTAAAAATGACTAATATGGTAAATTTTAAGATATGAATTTTTTATAATTAAAAAAAAAGCAAAATAAAGAATATATTTATTGACAGAAGACCTTATCGGTTTGTTTTACAAATGCTACTCTCCTGCCTGTAATCAATCAACAAATAAATTCATCATTTAATAAGTATATATCAAATATCCACTAAAGTCAGCTATTCTTCTGTGATTCTGGAAATACAGAGATGAGCAAGACCTAGTTTAGTCCGTGGCCTCATCTGGTGGAGAAGATGACAATTATGACAATTTCTAACAATTCAGATGCTTTCTAACAACTGCTGGGTTCAGAATGGGTATAGTTGTTTCTGAAGGAGTATTGAAAATAAATATTTCTTAACTTGAATTTTTAAATGCTATTTCCTCTGCTTAGATTGTTCTTTCCATTTTTCTCCTTCTCATCTTTAACTTTCATTTTAGCTACTCAAATTCAACCCATTACTCCAGGCCAGTACAAGTTTCACTCCCTTTCTGACCATTTATGGATTATTCCAGCCCATATTTCAGGGCTCACTTATAAAAACAAACTGGCTAAGCAGAGGTATGGTAAACATTGAGTTTAGTCTAGATTAAAGAGGGGTTGGACTTTAAATCTGGTTAGTACTCAAGACCTACTGTAATGCTTTTCTCTTGCTGCAGGCCCAAAAGCTCATCCGGGTCCATGGGAATCTAATGTATCAACACAAGTTTCTGCATCTCTTCTGATCCTTCCTTGGTCATCTACTTTTACATTTTTCTTAATGTTTATTTATTTTTGAGAGAGAGACAGAGCATGAGTGGAGGAGGGGCAGAGAGAGAGGGAGACACAGAATCCGAAGCAGGCTCCAGGCTCCAAGCGGTCAGTACAGAGCCCGACATGGGGCTCGAACTCACGAACCGTGAGATCATGACCTGAGTCAAAGTCGGATGCTCAAGCGACTGAGCCACCCAGGTGCCCCCTTGGTCATCTGCTTTGGTATTTGAATTGAGATCCTAGTTCTTAGGAGCTCTGGACACTGACCTTCATTCTTACAACATTAATTCTACTTGACATTTCAACTTTGATTTCTATATTCCTCTGAACCAAAATACTGAATCAGACTGAGTCCACTAAGTAACAGGATAAAGGGACTAAGTGCAGCCTTTACATCATGCAAGTCTATCCTCCCGTCTTCTGTAGATTATGCTGCCTGAACACAGTATTTTATCTTGTACTCTTTTTATGACATGTATGCAAGCCTCACACCGAGTGCCCTTGCATCCTTTCTCTTCATTTCTAGCACCTAACACACTATGACATCATTGTGCTCAATACATAGTTATAGAGTTGGATTAAAAGAGATGTTACTGACCTCTTCACCATTTTTCTTCCTGCCCAAAGCATACTGCTTTGTTGCTTCGATAAATCGCACAGGGATATTATATACTCGCTTATTAAAGAATACAACTAGTGTATATGGCTGTTTGGAATCATGGCCGGAGCTTTTCCGAATAAGAAATGATCCATCCTGTTTATTAAAAGAAAAACATGATTACGGTGAGTATATTTATGTTTTCACAGGTTATTAATCAGTTCATACCTACATTATATTCCAAATGTAATTATTGAGCTATGTGATTTTCATCATTGATTATAGTTTATTATTTTCCAAGAAAATACTTCAGTAAAATATATACTTACAGAAAATCCGGAGTGAGGTCAATGCCAGCTTTTTGATGCATGAAATAAGATGTTATATTTATAGATTTAGAAATGTTTAATCTTTAGATTAAGATTAAATAAAAAGGGCACTCTTGAACTAGGAACCATGTCTACAAGTTACCTATGACTAAAAGAAATATGAAACAAATTCCATTTAAAAGTACTATGAGAAGAAAGCAGAAATTGGGAATCAAAACATTTGATGTGATGAGAATTCTCTTCCCCAAAACTTATACTGAAGCAGAAAAAACTGTAACACAACATACCAAATTAATTAAATATTTTATAAAATATTCTAGGGGTGTCTGTCTGGCAGTAGAGCATGAAACTCTTAATCTTGGGGTCGTGAGTTTGAGCCACATGTTGGGTGTAGAGATTACTTAAAATGAATACATAATTTAAAAACTTAAAAAATAAATATTCTATATCAGAAATTCAAAAATTTTGAACAAAAAATGGACAAAAAGCAGAAGGAAGAAATGCAACAAGAGTTCATCAAACTCAGGAAGGAAACTGAAGAGAAAGGCAAATCTGGGTCAGAAATGAAGAAATTACAAGATGCCCAAGGGACAATACCTTTAAATGAAGATACGATAAATGAGTAAAGGAAGGCATGGAAGCAACCAAGACAGAAAACAACAAAAAAGGAGATTTAAAAGAAGAAGAAGAAGAAGAAGAAGAAGAAGAAGAAGAAGAAGAAGAAGAAATACAATAGGGTCAGAGTGGTTAAAATGGAAGAAAGACAAAAAAGGCCCAAAATGCATGTAATTTGAGTCCTTGAAGAGAAAAACAAAACAATAGAAGAGAACTACTGTTTAAGACTGGAATTTTATTGGAAAAATAAATTTATTGGAAATAAGAGAAAACTTAAATCTATATATAGAAAGGGGTTCCATCTATCTGAAAAAATTGACCTGAAAATCAACTCAGAGACACATTCTAGAAAACTATTAGATTTTAAAAACAAAAGGTCTGCAGAGCCTTCAGACTAAAATATGAAATCACACATAAGGGTAAGAAAATAACATTAGCAATGGACTTCTCAAAAACATCCTATAAAACAAGGTGGGGCACCAGGGTGGCTCGGTTGGTTAAGCGTCTGACTCTTGGTCTCAGCTCAGTTCATGATCTCACGGATCACGAGTTCGAGCCCCACATTGGGCTCTGTGCTGATGCATGGAGCCTACTTAGGATTCTGTCTCTCCTTCTTTCTGCTCCTCCCCTCTGTGTGTGTATATGTGTGCTCTCTCTCTCTGTCTCAAAAAAGAAAATAAATAAACTTAAAAAAAAAAAAAACAATACAATGGAGCAACACTTTCAAAACTCAAGACAAGGGTTTTTATAAGCTGTCAAGGTATCCTCCAGGTTATCAGGTTATAAAAAAACAGCTTTGAATGTGCAAGGACTCAGGGAATAATGTAAACATAGTCCTTCCTGAGAATCTACTACAAGGTGAGATTTGTCAAACAAAAAGAGATAACTGGAAAGCCAGCCAGCAAAGGGATGAATGGAAAGCATTTAATATATTTAATTGTAGAGGTAGGACTAGAGCAAAGGTAGCAAAAACCAGTATGTAACTATCATATATTCTGACAAAGTAGGTGCAAGTGAAAAAAAAAAAAGAAAGACATGGAAGAAGGAAAGAGCAAGAAAAGGAAAGGTGGCACTTTAATTTTGGATTTTCTAAACTAACTGCTCCTAGTGTTTCCTACATGATTTGCCTTGGACTCTCTAAAAATTTACTTCCAGGTACTTTCTGCCACCTTGACCTTGATCTTTTAACCCATGCATTGATCCAAAATAGACTGTTACTTCTCACTCCTGAATGGATCTCATGTAGGAGCAAGCCTTACAGAGATCTGCCCCTGCAGCCTTCTCTCCCACTGTTTGGAGAGCAGTGGGGCCTATGGATCCTTGCAAAGGAAGGACAAATAGAAATAAGATGTAGGAACAAAGAGGGAGATGCTTGAAAGACAGGAGGGGATGGCAATGGCTCTTGAATAAGTAAATAAAAAAGATCCCTGCATCTATAATCGCTGCAATTATTTGGTCAGCGAATTATTGGGATGACAGCTGTGCCTATAGTAGACTGGGAACAGAATATGGGATTTAAAAATGGTCACACCTGGGGCACCTGGGTGGCTCAGTGGGTTAAGCATCTGACTTCGGCTCAGGTCATGATCTCATGGTTTGTGAGTTCGAGCCCCACGTCCAGCTCTGTGCTGACAGCTTGGAGCTTGGAACCTGCTTCGGATTCTGTGTCTCCCTCTCTCTCTGCCCCTCCCCTGCTCGGGCTGTTTCTCTCTCCTCTCTCTCTCTCTCTCTCTCTCTCTCTCTCAAAAATGAATAAACATTAAAAAAGTCTTTTAAATGGTCAAACCTTGTTTGATCTGTATAAAGCCTCTTCAGCAGACTTTCGATCGCAGGCACCGGCAAACCACGGCTTGCAGTGGATGTCAGCTTCCTGTGAAATGGAAAAGAATGTCAGTAGCACAGTACCTTCTGGCACTGAAAACAACGTCCCACTTTGCATTACCAAGACAAATCTGTGTTTGGACCAGTAATTTGAAAATGAGTCTTCTGCTTCTTTTGATCAATCACAGGATTACATGATTGACTTTTTTCTCATTTGGCCTTAGTGCTTGAGCATTCTTATCAATCAGTCAATCAATCAATCCTGCCTGATTCCTGAGCCATTTATTCCTTCCTCTTAAACAAGTTATAATCTCCCTTTCTATTGTGATCTTATTGTTGTTGCTTTGTGGAGTGCATCTTAATTTCCAAAATGTTTTTACCAAATATTATCTTATTTGATTCTTTTAACTGTTTTGAAGGCAAGAAGGACATATAATATCATCCCTATTTTACATCTGAGAAAGCTTAGGGAGACTTGCCCAAGGGCATACAGAGTTCTTTCTCTGTCTTTTTAAAAACTGGGCTGCGTTGTGTGTTTTAATATCATATGCCTCCACAGATCTATTCTGAGAAAATTACACAGTTTAAATAGAATCTGTGTGAGAGGAAGAACAATAAAAACAACATACTTCTTTGCTAGTTTTGAAGAAACACAATTGTTATTTAGGGCATCTAGAATACAAAGTGGAATACATCGAGCAGGGACTTAATCCCTGAAAAAGAAAAGTGTAGTCTGTATCCATCAGCAAGTGATAACTCACAAGCTGACTTTTAAAATACAGTCTATCCTCAAGCTTTACCCCAAACCCCTTACAAGAAAACATGCCCTTTCCTGCATTTTAATGGTAGCAATAAGAGTTCATTCATACCTGTTCTGACAAATGAGGGTTAGATGAAAACTGGCCATCCACAGCTGGGCTTCCCCCTTCTGGAAATCCTGGAAGGGATTTGAAAAATCAATGGGGTCTTCATCTTATCTTGAGAAGTTATTATGTCCATACTCTCAACACTGTGTTGGGCGCTGCAGGGGGCACACAAACTGACAAATCATTCACACGCCAAAAAAAATCCTTAATTGCAGTGGTTCTCAAAGCATGGTCTGAGGACCTCAGGAATCCCCAGGATTCTTTCAGAGAGGTTGTGAGGTCTTTTCCAAATCCGTATCTTTGTGAAGCCCAAAGTTCTTCATCTACTTCAGCCAGAAAAACATCGCAACAGATTGAATGTAGAGGCAGATATGAGAATCCAGCTGTCCCTGTTAGTCTAGGCATTAAAGAGACTTCAAAAATGCAAAACAATGCCACTCTTTCCACTCAATTGTTTTTGTTTGGAAAATATAGTGGTTTTTCATGAAAATATTTTATGTTAACATGTAATGGGTTTAACATTTTTAAAGGAAAAAATAAAAGTTTTAATTAAAAATGGATTAATAAATATGTTTTAAATGTCTTTTTTTTTTTCAACGTTTTTTATTTATTTTTGGGACAGAGAGAGACAGAGCATGAACGGGGGAGGGGCAGAGAGAGAGAGGGAGACACAGACTCGGAAACAGGCTCCAGGCTCCGAGCCATCAGCCCAGAGCCCAACGCGGGGCTCGAACTCCCGGACCGCGAGATCGTGACCTGGCTGAAGTCGGACGCTTAACCGACTGCGCCACCCAGGCGCCCCTTAAATGTCTGTTTTAATTAATACATTAAGTATCAATAGAAAGAAACATGTGAACCAAAGGTCTTTGGGTCTGCAATGATTTTAAGAGTGTTTAAATGGTCCTGAGACCAAGACATGTGAAAATTGCTGCCTTAAGGCATAAACTTCCTCAAGGAGTTTATAATCTAAATGTGGAGACACACGAAATACAGAAAATACTGCATTCATTCATTCATTCATTCATTCATCATCGTGTGCCTGCCATGGATCAAGGCATTGGGGATAGATATATAGTGGTCAAACAAAACAGCAAAATGCCCTTCCCTCATGGAGCTTAAGTTTTAATGGAGTGATTGAGACAGGCAATAAAGACATAAGAAATATATATGCAATATTACAGAGTTGTAAGTGCAAGGAGAAAAATCAGCAGGGAAGGGGTTTGGGGTTAGCCTTGGAAAAGCAATATGTTGAAATAGGCTAGTCGGGAAGGCCTCACTGAGGTGACATTTAGGTAAGATCTGCAGTGAGAGAGGGAGGAGGCATGCAGATATCTCAGGAAAGAGTGTTCCAGGTAAGGGGAATAGGGCAAGGGGCCTAGCATGTTTGAGGGATGGAGAGGGGGTCATTGTGCCTGGAGTGTGGAGGGAAAAGGAGAGAAAAATAAGGGATGAAGTCAGACACCAGGTAATGAAGGGACCAGCGGTGTAGGACTTGGTGGACCCCTTAGCATGACTTGAGCCTTAACAGACACGGTGTGGGAAGCTTTTGGGGGGGTTTTGAACAGAGTAGTAATGTAATCTGCCTGTCTTTCAACAAGGTCACTCTGGCTGCAGGGCTGGAAATAGATCCAAGAAAGCAAGGGCAGAGAGAAGAGGCCAGTTTGGTGTTCTTGCAAGCCCAGGCAGGAGATGATGATGGCCTAGAACAGATGGTGGCAGTGGATGGTTGGATATCAATTATATTTTGAAAGAATAGCTGGAAGGTGTGTGAAGAAAGCAAGCGAGGGACGCTCGGGTGGCTCAGTGGGCTAAGCATCTGATTTCGGCTCAGGTCATGATCTCACAGTTCGTGGGTCTGAGCCCCTCATCAGGCTCTGTGCTGACAGCTCAGAGCCTGGAGCCTGCTTCGGATTCTGTGTCTCTCTCTTTCTCTGCTCCCCCTGCCACTCACACTGTCTGTCCCTGTCTCTCTCAAAAATAAACATTTAAAAAAATTTTTTAGGGGCGCCTGGGTGGGCTCAGTGGGATTGGCTTGACCCGGAGTCTCGCCCGGTCGTGAGTTCGGGCTTGCTGATGGAACTCTGGGCTGATGGCTCCGGAGCCTGGAGCCTGTTTCCGATTCTGTGTCTCCCTCTCTCTCTGCCCCTCCCCCGTTCATGCTCTGTCTCTCTCTGTCCCAAAAAGAAATAAACGTTGAAAAAAAAAATTAAAAAAAAAAATTAAAAAAAAAAAAAAAAATTTTTAAAAAAGCAAGCAAGCAAGCCAGCAGTCCTGGGGAGCTCTAAGTTTTTGACCAGAGCAACCAGAATTGTCCTTTATTAGGAAGGGAAGCATGTAGGAGAAACAGGCTTAGATGTTTTCTCCTGGATGTTCAAAAGCGACAGCCACCCGTTGTAACAGGATCGGGCAGTGATGGCTTGGCGGGCCCAGCAAGGCTGGGCGTGAAGGAAGGGTGCGTTCTCATGGGTCGGGACAGTACTCCTGGGTGGGCGCAGCCACAGAGGGTGGGAGGTCAGGCTCTCCCAGGCCACACAGTATAAGGTGGTTGGTGGTTATTGTAGCTTGGAGAGTTAGGGCAGTTCAAGCCTGATATTTTCTGACCCTTGAATAAGTGCCAGTCCTGTTCTACTTTCCACATCTTAGTTCATTTTGTCCTCACACGGGCCCATTGTGGGAGGAGCTATTAGACCCCATTTTCCAGCTGAGGCCCTGACGGCCCCATGCGAAACAGCAGACTCCACTGCCTCCGTTACTCTGTGACCCTACCCCTGCCAACTTGCTTTCTTTTTCTTTATAGCACTTTAACATTTACCCGATAGCATATGATTTATCCAGTTGTTTCTGGTTTTTATCTATCTCCCCTGGTAGAATAGAAGCTCCATAATGGCAGGGATTCATTTGTTTTGTTCAGTGCTGTCTACCCTGTGTCTAGAACAGTGTCTGGCATGTGACAGAAGGTTAGTAAGGATTTGTCAGTTGAAAGAATTACTTAGGTTGAAAAACAATAAAAAGTATAATGAAGCTTTACACAGTGAAAAAGAACATTTCTATAGCCAAACCATTTGCACTTTGTGTTCAGAATTTAAGAATACATATGTCTTTTATATATATGTTTGAATTTCATTTATTGAGATAAATAAAAAAATCTAATTGAAACCTGATTATGTTATGATTAACAAATGCACATAATTTTTTTGTTTATAACAATTATTTTATTTATGTTTACCAAATCTTGCTTATTTTGGAATATCTTCCAAATTACCCATGCACACTGGGGTTTTGTTTTTTCATTTTTTCATTTTTTCCTACATTTGAGTAGAAGGGAAATCAAAGTTTGGGCAGTTCTGTTCTACAAGTCCGACTTCATATGTTTTTAGGGTGATGTTCTATTTGCCTTGGGAAAATTATCCAGCTATTTGCCAAATATTTTTAGGGTAGCTTTTATGGATATATTTTATGAGCATCAAAGTGTCTTTTAGATTTAATTTCAATAACTATCATTTATTGAACACCTTGTATCGGGGCGCCTGGGTGGCGCAGTCGGTTAAGCGTCCGACTTCAGCCAGGTCACGATCTCGCGGTCCGTGAGTTCGAGCCCCGCGTCGGGCTCTGAGCTGATGGCTCGGAGCCTGGAGCCTGTTTCCGATTCTGTGTCTCCCTCTCTCTCTGACCCTCGCCCGTTCATGCTCTGTCTCTCTCTGTCCCAAAAATAAATAAACGTTGAAAAAAAAAAATTAAAAAAAAAAAAAAAAAAGAAGACCTTGTATATACAAAGCACTATATCAGGTACTTAATCTTATTTTAAAAACAGTTGTACTATTTTTATTAAAAAATTAAATATAAAAGATGCCCAGTATGACTGGTAAAATATTGAATCAATACTAAAAAAAGAAAAATGATTTCAGATTTATTTACTTTTGAAAATTACTCCATGAAACAAATATTCTTTTTTAAAATCTTCGTTCGTTTGTTTGTTTTGAGAGAGAGAGAGTGCACATGCAAGTGTGAGTAGGGGCGAGGCAGAGAGAGAGAGGGAGAGACAGAGAATCTCAAGCCGGCTCCACACCGTCAGCACAGAGCCTGATGAGGGGCTTGATCACAAACTAAGAGACCACGACCTGAGCCGAAATCAGTAGTTGGACGCTTAACCAGCCGAGCCACTCAGGTGTCCTGAAATAAATACTGTGGCTCCATCTAACAGAAAAGGAAACAAGTCAGAGAGGGCACTAAGATCCTCCAGCTGGAAGTGTTGCTCAGACATGAAGATCCAGCCTTACCTACAACGTGATATTGTTTTTCATGTTTCACCATACTTACTTGGCAGAGGTACAGGTTTGTGATGGATTTGTCTGCAAGGAAGAATTTCAGATTAATTAAAGGGCAAAGCACAAGACGAACAAGTCTGACATTTTGCTTGCACTGAAGATGCTCTGAGCAGGGGCGTCACAAAGGAGTCGACCCAAATGGCCAATAAAACATATTGAAGGACAGATAAGGCACCAAAACCTTCAAGGTAAGTAAAACTATCCCCTTTAGTTTTTGAAAAGGAAGGGCCTTGACTAAAGTGTTAGATTTTAGTGAAGACCAATAAACCCAAATATTAGATCTTTGTGAGTCTAAGAAGTTCTTTTAAAGTTCTTTCCTACTTAACACCTTTAAAAATTTTAATTGCAAAACAATGAATGTCAGATCTTTACCAAGCACTAAGCCCGTGTCACTATGCAATGTAACGATACAGGTGTTAGGGAAACTTATTTTTAAAGGAAGGGATTCTTACTTCTGGGCAGGAGGAAACACTGATGACTGCATATTTTCTTGTCTGTGACTAGATGCTCGGTGGCGTTCAGCAGGTATGGGTTTTTCTGCATTGAGAAAGTTTTCATATCAGACTAGAGTGAAATGTCTGTTCCCAACCCAGCAACATCAACCGAGAAGAAACGGATTTGGTCCGATGTTTTCCTATGAACCCATCTTTCACCAGGATGCCATCTGTTTGTGCACCTGTCAGTCTGGTGATGTGTTTGCACTATTAGGACCGGGCATCCTACCCAGCAGTGTTGCAGGCACACCTCACAGCTCTGTGGCAATATACATGGGGACTGAGCCACGGGGGCTGGACCTTTAAATGTGTGAGTACAGGTGGGAGCCAGAGACGAACAAGTTTGACCCACACCTGTATCCCTCACACAGGTGTTGCAACACACTTAGTTTATCTTCATTAGTCATAAGAGGTGTTATAAGTAATTTCTAACTGATAAGAGGTAAAATATGAGAGTTTGCAAATAATCTACTCTTTTTGCAAAATTAACTGAGCAAATTCAAGGTCATCCCGATAATAATGTTAATCACATTTGCATTTCATTGTGTTTTCCTGAGTGGGAGAAGAAAGGGTGGGGTTATAACTGGTACACAGGGAAATGGGTAAACCTGAAATGTAAGAAATTTATGCTGAATTTATGTTGAACTTTACTGCTGGACCATGGATAAATGTGATGATAAATTATTTTAATGCTTTGTTCTCCTTCAAATTTGGTCTAGGGTGTGTCAGAATCTCGGTATGTCTATGGGTGTGTGTTCCACATGGAAGAAAGGTGAACTATGGGTCTTCTGTTACAGGACCCCAAAAGAGTAAAAGTAGTATGAACTCAAAGATTCAAATAAATGATAAAATAGACTTGAGGGGTTCATGTAATGCAGCAAAATTCAGAAGCCTTGAGGCCCTGAAGAATGTTTTAAGTCAATGGCACCCTACTTTGAGCTGCCATGTGAGATGTTTTGTTCATGACTTTACAACTTGATAATTTCGGAAGGAGAAACAATGAACACACTTGGTTCCCACAGCCTGATGACCACCCTGCTTTGTCTCTGCAGTCCTGGAGGTTTCCTTTCTAGGTGAGAAGAGGCTGTTCACCTGCACTGGGCTTGGAAGATTATTGCCTCTGTCCCTGAGACAAGTCACAAAAGAGACAGCATGCCAAGCTCTTGTACTAGGAGCCCTTTGGGAATGAGGACACCGGAGCTGCGTGGCACATGCCAAGAGCTCCTTCTGGGCTGGTTTTCAAAGGCTCCTGAAGTCAATGGAATTTGCACAGGGTTGAGCTTACTTCCTGCAGAGGCTCACCCTAGGGCTCCACTATAATTTGAGCTCCCTGCTCAGCAGGCACAGAAAACTGTAAGGTATGGAAGGACAGTGAAGCAAAAGCATCAAAGGAAAGGGAGATGAAAGCCAGATAGCAGAAAGGGAGTGATAGCTCAAAAATAGCCTGGAGGAAGAAAGATGTGGGAAACAGATGTAAAAAAAAACAAACAAACAATGGAGCAGTTGAAGCAGACAGGCGAGGTGTAGGACACATTCAGAAAATGTCCAACATCCATCGTCAAAGAAACCAGAGCATTTTATGTGGATGTGCCCATGTTAACTCAGGAAATGGTGAGAATACTCAGCTTTAACGCTGGGTAGCTTCAGTTGTAGAATTAGACGGTTTAGGGCTTTAACTCTATATAGTGTTCTAAGTGTTGAGATCATGGATAGTTCTTACTTCTTTCTTTTTTTTTTTTATTTCCCCCAATATTTTTCAAATACAGATAGTTTTTTAAATGGAAAATTCCAATTAAAAGTATTTGTGAGGTTTTAAGGATACGATAAAGCGAAGAAAAACATTTGAAGATGTGAGGTACTAAAATAGACATTTGAATTCAGAAAACATTACTTTCAACACTTAGCAAAAGAACTTGCTCAGATAAACAGATTTTTATAAGTTTCATTACTGTAACTAAGCTATTGTTTCTAAAATACATGAATGCTTCTAAATAAGTCTTCATATCTATGTAAAGCCATAGATCTGTGTCTGGCAAGTCATATGTCTCCAAACAGGCAGGTTTGGGGCGTGTAGACTACAGCCTTGCCCCAAAGACACTGGCTCAAAATCTCAGGTCCTTCCTGCTCGTTGCAAAGCCAAGGCCACTTTATTTAGAAACCCGAGTTTCATATTCACAATTGCTTTATAAGTAGACAAAGCAAATTAGAAATACACTTATGTACAAATCCTTAATTAAAATAGCTTTGAGAGGACATACTCATCCTTCAGAATAATACAGGTTTACCTTCACAAACAGCTGAAGCGTTCTGTTGAGGCGTAAGTGGAGTCTATTAAAAAAAAATAGGCAAGGATATTCACTACGGTGGGATGTGGAAATAAATGTCAAAGCAACATGATTAAAATAAGTACTTGGGGAGGGCGTTTCTTTGATGCATAGCTATTGTTTCAATCACAAGAACAACAATAAAAAGCACCCAGTTCCCAGCCCAACATCTGCAATAAGCAGCAATGGACTAGAAGTGTATCACGGAAGGGGCAGTGTCGCCCTGGTGTAGGGACTTCCGTGCCCTGTCAACAAGGCTCACGGATGCCGTGACCCCCAGTAGCTGCTGGCCAGTAGCTCTTGCACAGAGGGAATGTGGCCTCTGGCTCTGGTCTTAGGGCCCCACCTCAGTGTTTGCTACGTGACTGCAGATGTCAGGTTACAGAGTAGGCACTAGGTCAAGGGGGGCTTCCTCAGACAGTGGGCTGGCCCAGGTTCCCCACATTCTGGCCAGAATCCAAGTGTAGTCGGGCCTGTGTGTGCCTGATACACCATTAGCCCCCAGGCCGGCAGATGGAAAGCAGACACAGGCGCTCCCCATGGGGAAGGCAGATGTCAGGGGAGGAAGGGAGCCCGGCTGCCACCTTGGATCTGCTGCTCACACTCGGTGAAGCCCCCCACCCCCCGCCCCTCCCGCCCCTGGGGCTAAGTGAGGATGAGCTCCTCCCATGCAGCCTCTTCCCTGGCTAACTGAGGAAGCTAAATTTCTCTTGGAGCATCTGGGCGGCAACTTCAGTTGCTAAAATTGCTGTGTTCACCTTAGCTGGAAGCACTGTCAACTTTAAATAAGGGAATAAGAATAAGCATGGCAGGAAATATGAAACACGTTTAAATGCAAAATTAACTTACTGTCTTCAGTGGGGTAGCTGGTTTTTTCCTGGAGGATAAAAAGAGATTGGGCTTTGTTAAAACATAACAAAGATAAAGTGGAGCTGACTGCTCATCATTTCACTCTTCAGTTTAAACTAGAATAATAAACATGATATGAGTGTGTTGGGAGACTATCCTTCAAGGGCAGAGGGGGATGGAATGGGGATTTAGACCTGATCCTCCCAGCTTCAGATAGAGTCCACTGACAGATGGCTAAGAGTTAACTGGGGATAAACGGGAGCGCCAGTTGCCAGGGAGTCAGGATAGCTGAGTTCTTGTTCCAGTCCCGCTGCTGATTGCTCTGTGACCTCAGGCCTCTTTCTCTCGCCTGTGAGGCTGGTTGCAGCTTTAGTTTCCTTGCCCGTAAAATGAGGACTAGACTCGGTATTTTGAAAGTATGGACGCAGAGACCTCCCATCCTCCAAGGGTAAGCTCGGGCTACAGCGTATGGACGCGAGTGGAGATAGGAGGATGGCCCAGCAGGTGGAACCGCAGCCAGCGCCCCTCCTTGCCCACTGCTGTCCTGCCTCAGGTGACTATTCTCTACTAGACACTTACCTAGGATTTCAGCCCGAACAGAGAAATCGAAGACCAACACAAGTGTGAAAACCACTGTGATTTGTGGTCCTGTAGGGGCTTGTCTCAGCTTGGTTCCAGTAGAGATTATAATCGAATATTGTAAGAGTGTATACTTCTTTTCTGTGTTCAAAGACTGTCACCTCCTCTCTCTCTCTCTCTCTCTCTCTCTCTCCTTCTCAGTCTCTCTCTGTTTTTGGCTCAGAGCTGGAAGATGGGAGGAAGAACACTAACAATTCCCAAGTGCCTGTCTCTGGGTTAGGCTTTTCATGTTCCCTAAACCTCACGGTGACCTTTTAAAATGGATATTATTGTTGCATTTTGGAGATTAGGAAACTGAGGCTCAGAGAGATTAAGTAATTTGCCCAAAGTGATAAAACTCAGGCAAGGGAGAAATTTTGGTCAATAAACCTTTGAACCTAAGAATTTCTTTGCTTTCCACAGAGGCGGAATCAAGATTATAATCATGCAGGCCAGCTTTGTACATATTTAAGCGGGCTTTTAAAATAACCTATTGAATCAATATAAAATTATGGGGGTCACTGTTTTGTGATATTAATACGTTACAGCACCTAGCAGTTTACAAAGCTCTTTTACATTCAATAAGAAAGTATTACTCTCTTATCTCACCTTTGAAAGGAACCTCGGCAGTATGGCCTTTGATGGAACAATCCAGTGTGTGCTGTTGGGTGTACACGTGTTTGTTTACATATCATTAACTACTCGAAAGAGAAGTGGAGGAGTAGAAAGCAAAGATGAAACCTGCTCATGGGTCTCAAAATTATTCAGGCGCTGGAGCTTCTGTCTTTCGGAACACAGGTCAATGAACTCAAGACTTAACTAAGAGTTTAGGGGAGGAAAGACTGCTGGTTCTTTATTTCAGCAGGAGACCCGTAGTCTGACTAGCATGCCAGGGGAGCGGAGGAGGAGAACAGGGCAGTGGGGCTTGTTTTCCACACCCTTTAGGAACACACCTACTGTAACGTGAGGTGCACCTGTATCTGAGCCTGGGCCGCTGTGTTCCTCTGGAGGGAAATAGCAGAAAAAGCCCCCGCGTTCCCCCCCCCCCCCCCCCCCGGGTTCTCAGGCAGGACCGCTCTGTGGATTCCAGGAGGCCCTGCCCACAGCAGTGGTGGAGAGCGTCCACTCACATCTCACAGGGCTGATTCTCCACAGCAGGTACTCACCCGGCCCGGGGCATTGGGGACGGCGCAGCAGGAGAAGGTGACTTGGCGTCCCAGGCCCCGCTGTTACGACCTGCACAAACATACACACAGGTTAGTCTCCGAGTCCTGAACCTGGGGCTGACGGTCACAGTGAGGCTGGCCTTTCCAGCAGGCTCAGAGATGTAGGCACATTTTTGGTTTTTTTCAGTCAAGCATGTATAGGGGGTTACACAGAAGCTATTGGGGAAAGCCTATAGGCAAAGGTGATGAAATATCTAAATGATGGCAATTTATAAGCTCAGAACCAGAATGAGAAGTAGGGACTCCATCTTAATATTTCTAAATGACCTTCTCTTCCATGACACAAGCACAGAACCCCTGATTCTGTGGGCTCAGTGAAAGCCCCCCAGTGTTCCTATAGGAAGGAGCCAAGAGCTCATACCTGCATCTATATACACACACACTGCACAGATGTGCACACCAGCAGTGCCCAGGGACAACGTGACAGACCCACCACTCCCACTACGAGCCCACATGAACCTCACATTCACAGGCTGTTCATTCATCTCTGAATTCTCAGGCCTTTTTGCCCGTTGCACAGACAGATTGAGACAAGTAACAAGCTACTGCCTAATCGCATCTTCCAGAGTCACAGAAGGGACCCAGCGGGCCTCGTCTGCTGCACCGCACTGCCCTCCCGCTACCTAAGGCAGGGGGCAGACGGTCATGAGGGAGGAACGGAGACAGGCAGAGCCTCACCATCAGGACAGAGCAGGCCAGGAGGGAGAGAGCCAGACACCAAGCCAGCTCCCCTCCGCGTCTCCCGGCTGCCTTCTCTCAGGCTGATGCTCACCTGCCTGGGCGTCACGGCCCAGTGAGACAAAAGCGCTTTATTGACTTAAAGTGAACCGAATACCCATTTTGTTAAGAAACGACTACATTTCTAAGCCCACAGTTCCTACTGGACCTACAGGGGATGCTCTGGAAATATAGGTTGGACCTGCCCTCAGTATGTATTATTTTAGTTTGCGAGATAAAGCACGTATCGGTGAGTGCTGAGGCAGTAATCGCCTCCTGAGAATTACTGAGAACCTGGTACGTGAAGAGCACTGTGTCAGGGGTTGTGGAAGAGGTGAAGACGCAGAGATAGGCCTCTGCCCCCTCGGAATTTGCAACATGAAGACATACGCCCGCCATGCAGCTTCACCTCACAGGACCACCTACGCCAAACACAAAAAAGAAAAAGGCCTCCACAGGCATGAAAAATAGAGATCATAAAGCTCATTCTCATGTACTTTAGAGAGAGAGAGAGAGGCCTTCAGGCTTTCGCTTAGAGCCCATCCACTCCTTTTCTACACACAGTCCTTACACAGAACTAGTTTCCACGAATGCCCAGAACGGCCCTCCACAGGACTCTCACTTACATGTTAACCCAATCTTGATGTGACTTTTAAGAACTTTTGCAAAAGAGACTATGTTCAGAATTTTTACCATTTCATATGACAATAAACTGCCATCTGAATATGAAGTGTGAGTCCAAGTGTGTCTCACTGGTTGGTGAACCAACCAAATGGATGTTGTCCTTCAAATTCTTAATACCTGACTGATGCTATTAAAATACCCTTGACTACTCATAGATCTTGATGGAGGGTTTCAGGGATGGAGGGGGAAAAACGCTCGTCTGAAAAGTAAGGAAATAGAAAGAAGGTCTGAGTCAGAACTTCCTCCCTGGGGTTTTCCCTCTCTCTCGATGCCAAAGGCTCATCTGGCCTGGGGTACATTGTTGTCATATTTTTACTGCCTGGCTTCTCTACGGAGCTTCCCTTCCCTTCACATCTTCAAACAGTCTGCCAACATGTCCCTTCCCCCGCCCTCGCTCATAAATAACTTCTGCTATCAGAGAGGGAGGAGCACACCGCCTTCCCCTGTGGTGGTACCATAAGTGTCGGTGGGAAACCCATGGTCTCACACCAGGACAGGGTTCTAGTTATTTCTTTGCCACCAGATGGGCTGGGTGACCTCTTACAAGTCACTGCGTTTCAGTCTCCCCCACTGTGAAATGGGGACACAACCACGCCCGTACCTAGCTCACAGTTATTGTGGTAAGACGAGAGGGGAACCTGGAAAATGTAAAGAATTAGCCAAATATAAACTAATATTTCTGGAAAGGGACTGAAAGTACTTGAGGTAAAAACATTACGCAGGTGAAAAGAGCCAGAGGGAGAAGGCTTCCTACTATATGACTCCAGCTATATGAGATGTTCAGAAAAGGCCAATCTACATCAACAGGAAGCAGATCAGTGGTTGCCCGGGGCTGGGGGTGGGAAGAACATTCACCAAAAATGGGCATAAAGGATCTTTTGGAGTTGGTGTGGGCAAGGAGATTTTCTACAACTGGATTGTAGTGATGGTTAAAAAACTCTGTAAATGTAATGATTTATAAAAAATACTGCAGTACACTGTTGGTGGGAATGCAGACTGGTGCGGCCACTCTGGAAAACAATGTGGAGGTTCCTCATAAAATTAAAAATACATCTACCCTATGACCCAGAAATAGCACTGTTAGGAATTCATCCAAGGGATACGTGAGTGCTGATCATAGGGGCACATGCACCCCAATGTTTATAGCAGTGCTATCAATAATAGCTAAATTATGGAAAGAGCCCAAATGTCCATCGACTAATGAGTGGATAAAGAAGATGTGGTTTATATGTACAATGGAATACTATTTGGCAATGGGAAAGAATGAAATCCTGCCATTTGCAACAACATGGATGGAACCGGAAGGTATTATGCTAAGTGAAATAAGTCAGTCAGAGAAAGACAGATATCATATGTTTACACTCATATGTGGAACTTGAGAAACTTAACAGAAGTTAAGAGGAAGGGAAGGGGAAAAAATAGTTTCAAACAGAGAGGGAGGCAAACCGTAAGAGATTCTTAAATATAGAGAACAAACTGAGGCTTGATGAGGGGGCAGGGGAGAGGGGAAAATGGGAGATGGGCATTGAGGAGGGCACTTGTTGGGATGAGCACTGGGTGTTGCATGTACGCGATGAATCATGGGAATCTCCCCCCGAAACCAAGAGCACAGTGTATACATTGTATGTTAGCTACCTTGACAACAAATTATATTTAAAAAATAATAATAATAAATAAAGTGACTGAAAATAGAAAAAAAATCCTGCAGTATACACGTAAAACAAACAAGTTTTATAATATGTAAATTATAACTCACAAAGGTCAGTAAATATGATTACTGCTATTTTTGTTTTAGCATCTTGCTACCAACCACCACAGTGTCTCCAGGTGCTGGGCACTGCTGGGCACTGCGGTACTTTCAATGTGCCATCTCGAAGCGTCACATAACATCACATGGAGCAAACGGAGGCCCAGAGAGGTTAAGTGGCAGGGCTGGGCTTGAAAAGCAAGGCTACCTGAGGTTCAAGCCAGGTGGGTACCTTTCCTCTCTGGCCAATGCCTCCTAGTGTTACTGTGAGCTCTGATCTGGCAGGTCAGATTCACCTGCTGTTTCTCCCTTACTTCAGGAAAGATTGGTGAAACTGAGCGGTGCTTTTGTGGATGCCCGTGGGAAGATGCAGAATGACTGTCCTATTTCATAGACCGGCTCTCTGCTGCTCTGGGCCTGAGGTCAGACCTAGGGGCATGCTGGGGGGGGACAACCTGATCCCCTCTTTGTGTCCAGGATCCTTACTTTCTGATGAAGCCAAATTCCTGGCTGGAATACTCCAGAGGAGAAATTGGAAATGCAACAGAGGGAGATGTGTCCAAAAGCATAATGATAAGAAAAACAAAAATCAGCTTTGTTTTCATTGTATTGAGCAAAAAATGATGTTAATGTTTGCATGGCTGGTGCTTACCAAAGTTCTCGACTAGGAAAACGACTTACTCTCAGTTTTTCCTTCTACCACATGTATTTTATGTATCATCCTCTCTTTGGTTCTACATACAATGTTGGTAAGTTTTCTTTTCCTTTCTTTTCTTTTCTTTTCTTTTCTTTTCTTTTCTTTTCTTTTCTTTTATGTTTATTTATTTTTGAGAGAGACAGAGACAGAATGTGAGTGGGTTGGGGCAGAGAGAGAGGGAGACACAGAATCTGAAGCAAGCTCCAGGCTCCCAGCTGTCAGCACAGAGCCCGAGGCGGGGCTCGAACCCACGAGCTGCGAGATCATGACCTGAACTGAAGCCAGATGCTCAACCGACTGAGCCACCCAGGCGCCCCAACGTTGGCAAGTTTTCTTATCCTTAGCAATCCCAATGTTGGCACCGTAAGCCCTTGGGATTTCCGACTCTTTCCTAGCTGTTCTAGAAATACTGGTATTATTAGTGGGGCTTGCACACCAGCTGGAGCATCGCTTACTCTCAGGCCTTGTATGAGCTCTTACCAAATAAAGAGATTTAATTTAACAATTTCAGAACAGTTTGGCTTACAGGTAACATTCAACTTGCATATTAACAGGGAATCGTAAATTCCCCAAACTCCTTCCCTATCTTAGGAAATTAGCAGATAGATCCCTTTTTAAATGCTACTTACTTAGGGGAAGTTCAGAAGTGCATCCCCTGTCTACCCTCTTCTGACAAAAGCTGCAAATCAGCCTCTAAATCACGTTTAGAAATAAATCACTAAAAAATGTCAGTCTTTCAGTTTGTTTAGACCAGTGGTTCTTAACTAGGAATATTTTGTCCCTCCTGCCCCTGGGACATTTGGCAATGTCTGGAGACACCTTAGCTTATCACTACTGGGGAGATGATGTTATTGGCACCTATTTGGGGCAGAGGCGGCCAAGGATGTTGCTAAACATCTCACGTGCACAGGGCAGTTAGGACAACAAAGAATGATCTAGCCCTAAATACCAACTGTGTGGAGGCTGACACTCTGATGCAGGGTAAAACTTTATGCAGAAAGAAAGAAACAACTGTTCCCTGGGATGTGTACAGGGCACTCCGCCAGACTGGTCACGAATTAAGACATGCTAAACAAAGGATTCCAAAGAATGGTAATAATAATAACAAAGAGCTTACTCAACTTAATTTTCACGCTCCCTTAGGCATAGGTGCCATTTTCTCCTCCCATGTTTTCAGAGGAGAAAACTAAGAAACGTACAGATTGCTTAGCTTGTTTGAAGTCTGGCACCTAGCGCAAGTCGGAATCCAGATCTGAGCCCTCTGGCTTTGGAGTCTGTGCTGTCCTGAAACTGTGCTTCTCTGTATGGAGCATCGAGTAGAGGGAGACATTGCCCCTGCACCTAATTCATGGTGTGATCCTCGCCAAGTACCTTCTTAGCCATCAAAGAGCCAAAAGCAGCACCCATTAGCAGAGGCAACTATCATGGTGCAGACAGAAATACCAATCGAAGCCTTAGCATTTTCATCATGCCTATCTGGGCATTATCCGTAGTCTTCAAAGGCTAGTGGACAGTTATACAGAGACACAGGCAAGTAGTCTGAACATTCCTTTTATAAAAATCATCTCTGAAAACTGCTGTTTGCAAACTCAGAAACTCATTCTAACTGTTCAGGTTTCGTCCCTCCCAAATTATCTCACTTCCTTCCTCTTCCTGTACTTCCTCCTGTCCGTGTCCACCAGTCACATAACCAGGAAATTATTTTCTTGTTCAGGTTTGGTTTCTTCTGGTGCCTCTAGTATTAAAATACAGCTATACTAGATTAATAGAAAACAAATGAATAAAACTGGCAGCATTTGGAGGCATTCAGAAACTCATCTCAGTGACTGAGGAGAGAGCCAAAAGGCAAGGGTATGGCTAAGTGGACTCTCGAACACAGGAGACAGAAGGTATGAAGTGACAAAGTAAAGGAAGCCTAGACTAAGGTAGTGGCAACGAAAACGGAAGAGCAAATTCAAGAAAAAGAAATGGCAGACTTTGGAAAGAACACAGGCCCTCAGGCATGTGACCTGGAGGCCGACATGCACAGAGGAACAGGACCATCCTAATGGCAGAGAGCTGATGAAGGCATTGAGCTTGAGGCCCTGGGTATGTCAAGTTGTTCAGAAGAGAAATTAGGTCAAAGTTGCACACCACGGGGCGCCTGCGTGGCTCAGTCAGTTAAGCATCTGGCTTCGGCTCAGGTCGTGATCTCACAGTTTGTGGGTTTGAGCCCCGCATCAGGCTCTCTGCTGTCAGCGCAGAGCCCACTTTGGATCCTCTATCTCCCTCTCTCCGCCCCTCCATCCCTCTCTCTCTCTGTCTTTCTATCTCTCTTTCCCCCTCTCTCAAAAATAAACATTTTTTAAAAGCTTATTTATAGTTAAAAAGTTGCACACCAGAGAATTATTGGCTTGGACAAGAGAACTGAGGCCAGAAGAATGGATGGACCCCAAAGAAGTGAAAGAGAATATTCTTTCCCAAGCATGTGCCGTGTGCCAGGCACCGCATTAAAGATTTCCTGGGCACAATTCCAGAATTCTCCTGTCACAGGGCAGGGGCTATTATCTCCATTTACGGAGGAGAAAATCTGAAGATTGGAGAGGCAAAGGACAGGCCCAAAGTGGTACAGCTGGTAACTGGGAGCACCGGGATTCCAACCCATGTCTGTCTGGTCCCAAACCCAAGCTTTTAACCACCACAATATTCTGAAAGAAGAGTGGAGGGCTGAGGACTGAACAGTGAAGACACCCTCAGTCAGGGGAGGGGGAAAGAAGGAGCCAGAAAAGTACCCAAAGAAGTAGGAGAAAAGCCAGGACTGTCTAACAGAGGCCTTGGGATATGGGGGAGAGGGCCCCTCAACATAGGTGCTACGAGACAGTGGATGAGGATGAGCACAAGGCCTTCTGTCACAATTTATGAAGAAATTTGGAAACACAAGCGATTATTTCTTAATACTGGATCTGAGTTGTTTATGTTGTTTGGAATAGATTTAAAAACCAACCCCCCAGATGCAATCGTTTCACACACACACACACACACACACACACAGCATCGAATCACGCCTATACTTTACCTGACGCTGTCCCAGGAGGAGAGGCTGGCTTCGATGCGTTATTTGGTTTCGTAGATCTATTCACCGTGGGAGCTTAAACACACAAATACATGCATATATATATATATAACAATGATAAATACAGTTTGTTGAGGGAGATTCACACTTATGGAAAAATGGAAAAATGCATCGTGGGAACGATGGGTCAGACCAGGAAATTTGTAAAGAACGGGAAACACAACTGTTCAACACACAAGCCATGAAAAGAAGCCTTCTCCGAAGAAGCATCTTTAGAGTAAATGTATTAATGATTAAGGGAATAATCAATCTCTTGGATTCTGTGGGGTTTGGGGGCGCAATTTAATATCTATTTGTGGTTTCATGGTGATGGGTAGCTCAGGAGGGCCTTGAAGTTGCTGGCAATATTTGGGGAGTGCAGGAGGGGGTTGCTACAGAATGGCAGAGTAAAAACAGGGAATGACCACTTTGGACTCATTTATCAGGTGAGTAATGTTACTTGAAGAGGCATCATGTTCTCCACAGTGACTCGCTCCAGAGTCAACACACCCCGCTCTGCTCCCGGTCCAAGGGTATGTGGCACCGGCTTCTAAAGATCACTTGTAATTGCACCTGTTACACCACGGAAGGCTTACAAACAAAACGTTTCTCATCGCTTGGGATAGCACTACATGTAAAGAGTCGGGCGTATTTCGTTCCTTCTTCAGTCCTCTGCAGAAACTGTTCCGGTGCCATATTCGTGAGGCCAACACGGTGGCCTGCGGCTTTGTGAGGATTCAGTTTTATGAGAAATCCATTCTACGTGAGGACAGTTAAATAAGAACCTAGCTGCCTTCATAACTGGAGATGGAAGTATGACAGGGTGGAAGGGCATGGGGGACCAAGGGCGGGACAGAGGTGGGTCTGTCTGTCTCGGCCCCCACGGAAGGCAGATGTCGTGACCACAGAGGAGAGAGGCCTGGGCCCGGACTTTCTGTCCCCCCCTGTTGGTGCTTGTCACCAGACAGCCTTGCGTGCCCCCATCCACCGCAAAAAGCGTTCGGGCGCTTAAAACTGCAAACGCTTGCCTTTTTCAGCTGGGAGTGAACTGCTTTCTGTGGGATGAATGTAGTTTTCGTCTTCATCCTCCAGAGGAACCACATAATCAGCCTGGAAGAAGTACGGAAACGAGTGAGAAGGAGGCCGTACATGCCACGTTCATCGTCTGGGGAGGAAGGATTTTGAAAAGACCTTTGTTGAGACAGAATTCACACACCATTAAGTTCCCCTTTGTAAAGTGTATAGTTGGGTGGCTTTTAGTATATTCGCAGAGTGTGCAAGCATCACCCTAATCTAATTTGAGAACATTTTCATCCCCCCCAAACAGGAGCCCTGTGCTCATTAGTCACTTCTCATCGATCCCTTCCCGGACCCAGTCAACCACTGATCTACCTTCCGTCTCTAAGAGCTGCCCATTCTGGGCACTGCCTAGAAATGGAGTCACATGACAGATAAGTCTTTTGTGACTTCTTTCATATAGCATAGTAATTTCCGGTTTCAACCACGTATCATGTATCAGTCTTTCACTCACTTGTATGGCCAAATGATAGTCCGTTATATGAATATAACACATTTTGATTATTCGGGTGGACCTTTGGGTGGTTTTCACTTTCCGGCTTTTATGAATAATGGTGCTGTGGACATTGGTGCGCGTCTTTGTGTTGATGTACGTTTCTCTCGGGAATATACCCAGTGGTGGAATTGCTGGGTCGTACAGTGGCTCTGTGTTTAAGTCTGGGGAACTGCCAGACTGTTTGCCAAAGTGCCTGTACCCTCTTCGTTCCCACCAGCAGTGTGCGAGCGCTCCGATTTCTCCGCGTCCTCACCGACACTTGTGACTGTCCGCCTTTTGGAATAGAACCATCCTGAGATGTAAAGTGGTATCTAATTATGGCTTTGACTTGCATTTCCCTGATGGTTCATGAGGTTGAGCCTCTTTTTGAACGCTTACTGCCCCTTTTTATAGCTTCTTTAGGCAAAAGTCTACTCGACTCCTTTGCCTATTTGTGTAATTGGGTTGTCTGTCTTTTTTATTATTGGGTTTATTATTGGGTTGGGTTCTTTAAATGCTCTAGACAGAAACCTCTTATCAAATATATAATTTGCAAGACTGTTCTCCCATTTTGTAGGTTGTCCTTATTTCTTGGTGGTGTCACTTGTAGCACAAAAGCTTTACATTTTGAAGCCCATTTTAACTAAGTTTTCTGTTGTTGCTTCTGCTTTTGGTGATGTATCTAAGATACTACTGCCTAATGCAAGGTTGTAGGGATTTATACCTTTGTTCTCTTCTAAGAATGTTATAGTTTTAGCCCTTACCTTTAGGCCTATGATCTATTTTTGGTTACTTTTTGTCTATCATATGACGGGGGCCACTCTTATGTTTTCGTATGTGGATATACGGGTCTCCTAGCACATTTTTTTTAAAAAACAATTCTTGGGGCGCTTGGGTGGCTCAGTCGGTTGAGCGTCCGACTTCGGCTCAGGTCACGATCTCGCGGTCCGTGAGTTCGAGCCCCGCGTCGGGCTCTGGGCTGACGGCTCAGAGCCTGGAGCCTGCTTCCGTTTCTGTGTCTCCCTCTCTCTCTGCCCCTCCCCCGTTCATGCTCTGTGTCTCTCTGTCTCAAAAATAAATAAATGTTAAAAAAAAAAAATTTAAAAAAACAATTCTTTCCCCACCGAATGGTCATGGCAACCTTGTCAATGATCAATTGACCAGAAATGAGGGGAGGAAGTGATTTTATGCTGACATGAAGCAAATGAGATGATCAGATCCCAAATGTGGTTTTTACCACCCATCTTGGGGGTAGCCAAGGAGGATACCAGGAGAAACAAAAACCGAACATTTACTGAGCACTTACTGCCAGAAACTCATCTGAGTACTCTACATGTGTTATTTCACTCAATCCTTAGAACCACCCAATAATATAGGTACTACTATCGGCTGCATTTCAAGATGAAGAAACTTGAAGAAACTGAGGCCCAGAGAAGTGAAGTAGCTGGCTCACGTCCTCATAGGTAAAAAGTAGAAGAGCTGGGGTTCAAGTATCAGTTCAAGGATCGAGCGCCATACTCTTATCCACTACATTCTAGGACCTGCCTGCCTTCCCCTTCTTTTTCTGTCTTATTTCTACCCTCTCCTCGTAATTGCTATTTCTCATCTCTTTCTTCACCTCCACACCTGGCCTCTGTGACCTCGGACAAGTTCTTCAACCCCTTTGCACCTCATCTGTACCATTTCCTTATCTGTAAAATGGGGGTGATAATAGTACAGATTTCGTAGCGTTCTTGGGAGAGTTTAATGGGATGAATACAAAGTGCTCTGAACACCAGTGGACACCTAGCACTCAAGTGACGGCCACTCGTGTCATTAGGGCACAGGTGCTTCTTCCTCCCGTGTTTTGCTCCCTCCCCAGCTCTCTGGTTAGCCTGTACCCCATACTTTTCCTGTAACCTGTACAGCAGAGCTAAGTATTTTTAGTTATTTATGCTTGTGCTTGACTTCTTCTTTTGCTATCTAATGGTTCAGCCAGATCTTAATGTTGGCCTATTTTTTTTCGTTTTTAACCTCTTTCTTATCTTGACTGTCCATCTGCCCATTCCAGAATGCAGCCGCCTCCATACTTCTCCTTTTCCCACTGGTTCAAACTTGCCTGAGCCACCTCCACAAGGCTACTATTAGCAAAACTCTGCCTCTCCCCACGGGGGTCCGCTCTCAGCTATTCACAGAAGTGGAGAGCCTTATATAACACACACAGTATTCATTTGTATTCTGTGTCTGAATTTATATCTTCATATAGATTTGCCAAGCGCTGAAAGAATTCACAGTGAGCCCCTAACAGCTGGTCTCTGCATCCTGTCCCTTGGTCAGCTTCCTCCTGCCACCCTCTTCTCACCCCAAAAGGTCAGCATCACCTCTCAGACAGACAGACAGACAGAGGACTGGCAAACCTCCTTTCTCTCTCTGTCAGCTGACTTTCTGACTTAAACTTAAACTGTCCCTAGAGTAAAGTCATAAAGTAAAACGCTTCCAGAGGCAGGCAGGGAGACATGGGGACGTGTGCAGAGGAAGGGCATGTTCATGCCTTGTACGAGTGGTGGGGACTATGACCAATGGAAACAAGGTCAGGGATTCACAGCTGAGCTGGAAGACTGCCATGAAGCTCAGCGGCTTTGAGGCCATGACTGGCCCAGTGTTGCCCAGGCTTTCAGGTTTCTGGAGAAACTAGAAAATTGGATTTTGTAAAGAATCTAGAATATGCTAGAAAGGAACATACGACACAGGGAATCCTTCTATGGGTGAGGCACTGTAGTTAGTGCTGTTCTAACACTAAGTCCTTAAAATAATCTGAAGAGATGAAAAACCGAGCCTCAGAGAGGTTATCTGGCTCGCCCAAAGTCACACAGCTAATACGGGTCAAAGCAGGAATTTGGGCCTAAATGCTGCCACTGTTTTATTTAAAAGTTTCCCTTGGGGCACCTGGGTGGCTCAGTCGGTTGAGCGTCTGACTTTGGCTCAGGTCATGATCTCGCTGTTCGTGGGTTCGAGCCCCCCATCAGGCCCTGTGCTGACAGCTCAGAGCCTGGAGCCTGCTTCGGATTCTGTGTCTCCCTCTCTCTATGCTCCTCCCCTGCTTACACCCTGTCTCTCTCTCAAGAAAAATAAAGATAAAAAAAAAAAGTAAAGTTTCTCTTTTCCCTCCCCTGCTGGGCTACAAATTATATCAAGGTGGAAATGAAGGTGTTTTTACAACATATTATTTATACACTATAGGTTTTATCACCTCTAGGCATTTAGAAACAAGTCATTTCTTCAAAAGCTGCAGTAAGATTATGGTTAGAAGTTGCCTTTATTGTGATCTTGTTTCTGGGTTCTGGTATAGGGTTGTTCTGATGGCTAAGTTCGAGGGCTTCACTTTGCCCTTATTTACAATGCGCGGACCTCTGGGAGCCACAACATATTAGGCCTTATCAGTCATTCCTACAACAGTCTGAATGAGTTTACCGGTTAGTTTTCAAATAGGAGCAATTCCATAGGGAATAAGACGTATAAAAAGCTGGGTGCTGCCAGAGGGGAGACTGATGAGTGAAACCCAGAGTCGAGTCCTGGACAATCTGCAAAGGTGGGTCCCTGGGTAGCGGCAGCTGAGGGAAAAGGGGGTGAGAGGCAAGGGCTGCCAGCGGGAAGTGAGGTGCGGGCTCCTGTGCACGTTGTGTGGGGTCCCTGACGACTAGGGTCTCTGTTATTTGTCCTCCCGCGCTCCTGTGCACCTTGCAAGAGAAATGTGGAGAAGTGGCGAGGAGGCAGGGCAGAGAAGCAAAGGAGAGTAAAGATAGAGAAATTTATGGAGGAAGGAGAAGATTCACAGGAAACCCCCGAAGAGGCTAATCAGAGGGGCACAGATCCAGTGCTGGTATCACCCGTACGCTCTGGGAATGAACGTGCTTAAACTAAGGCCATACATGCCTTTTTTAGAGAAGAAAACCTTTGGGATTAACGGTGGGGAGTTAGAGGGGTGGGCGAGGAGGAGGAAGGCATGTCAGACGCCAGACGGTCCTGGCCGGTCCCCCTCCCCCCTGCATCCTGCCTTCCACTCGGACTGGGAAGCCTTCAGGACAGATTTCGGTTACCTCATCCTCAAGGTCTTTGGGTTTGGGTGGGACTTGAGGTTTCTGAAGAGAAGTCAGGGCCGGCAGAGTGGAGGTCAGCCTTGTCTTTGCCGAAGGCCAGTTGGGCTTACTTGGAAGTGTCTTGCTGAAGGGCGGAGACTGCCTCTGGCTTGATCGATTGTCTTGAAAGGAACAATGACAAAATAGAAAATGAGAGGGGGGCTCTGGACCATTCCCTGCACCCAAGTATAAAACCACCCACATCTATGTAGTCACAAACAATTATTCCAGGCAGTCCTTAAAAGCGTAAAATGACATGTTAGGCAAAAATTTTCAATTGCCTGTTCCTTACATTACACTCTCCCACGAGAATGACAGCTACAGGACTCAGAAGAGCCTACGGCCCTGCACTTTGCCAGACAGAGTGGATGGCTGACCTTGGCAGCAGGGAGGCCCGAGAGGGGTGTGCTCCTCGAAGGTTCACTTCGCTCTATGAACCCTTAAGGGCAGTGACTCTCAATCCTCCTTACATAGAAGAACCACCTGGGGAATTTTAAGAAAATGTTAAGGCCCAGGCCCCACCCCAGACATACTGGGAAGAACTTGTGAGGAAGGTCTTGGCGTTAATAGTTTCAAGTCTCCCAGGTTATTTTTTTTTTATTATTATTATTGTTTAACAATTTTTTTTTTTAATGTTTATTTTCGAGAGACAGAGAGAGAGTGAACGGAGGAGAGGCACAGAGACGGGGGGACACAGAATCCGAAGCAGGCTCCAGCCTCTGAGCTGTCAGCATAGAGCCCAATGTGGGGCTCCAAATCACATAGTGGGAGATCGTGACCTGAGTCGAAGTCGGACGCTTAACTGACTGAACCACCCAGGCGCCCCTCTCCCAGGTTATCCTAAGGCGGATTCAGGGTTGCAGCTACTCATCTGAGTGAACGCACACATTCTTCCTCTCAATGATTTCCCTTCAATCATGGAGGGCCCCTGAGTTACCCCTTGTCGGGAACTGTCCTTGGCATGTGTCAGGGAAGGAACACAAGTTCCAAAGCCAAATGGCCCTGAGTTGGGTCCTCTGCTCTGCCCCTCACTGGCTGAGCTCTGTTTGGGCTACTTATTCATTATCCAGCCTCTCTGGGACTCACATTCCTCTTTTGTTTCGTTTTGTTTTAACCATTTTATTTATTTATTTTGAGAATGGGGGCAGAGAAAGAGGGGGAGAGAATCCCAAGCAGGTTCCATGCCATCAGTGCAGAGCCTGATGTGGGGCTCGATCTCACAAACCTTGAGATCATGAGCTGAGCCCAGATCAAGAGTCAGAGGCTTAGAAGACTGAGCCACCCAGGCGCCCCCACATTCCTCATTTGGAAAGTGAGGATCATAACATCCACCTGAGAGGGCCACTGTAGGGACTGGGAAGAAAGCAGTGCAAGCTGTGGGAGCAGTGCCTGGCAGAGTGGATGCCTAATCCATAGGACCAATATGGCGACGTGACATGGCCGAGGTGTGAGGCAACAGGGAGTCTGCTCAGTGGAATCTGAGCACGTTGCAGACTGATACGCTGTAGGGAAAGCTTAGCACAGGAGGAACCTGGCATGTCCCCATCCTGGGAGCAGCCCAGGCACTCACACTGGCTTCTGCCCCACCCTTAACTTCATGAGGCTGCCCCCCGCCCCCACCACCCGGCCGCCAGGCCCACCCCCTGCTCTCCCCCCGGTGCCAGCTCCTGCCCTGTCCAAGGTGTGCCGTTCGCTTCACATTGGATGTCTCCTTGGAAGGCTCCCTCTGGGTGTTGTGGTCGGGCTGGGGCTCCGGGTCAGCCGCTTTGCTGTGCCCATAACTCTGTCAGGTTTTCTAGTTTTATTTGCAGCTCTTAGAGTTTACTGGGATTTCTTAATGTAAGATCTAAGCCCATCAAAAGTAGCAAAATACACAAGACAGGCTTTGAAGAGCGTGGCCATGAATGAGCCACTGCGCCCCCTCCCCTTAATTGCAGTTTGCTGGCCTATAAAATGGGCCTAATGCAGCCCCTTCCTTCCCAGGGTCCTGTTGCTTGAACAAGGTCAGAAATCTGGTGAGCCAGGGCTTTGGGGGCTGAGAAGCCCAGCGTGCGTCCCAGCTCTGCCACTCCCCAAAGCGGTTCACTCCTCCGAACCTCACTTTCCTCCTTCATAAAGTGAGGACGGATGCCTCTTCCGTAAGCTTCTCGAGAGGGTGAAGTAGGCCACGACTGTGAAGCACGATGCTGTGAGCTACAAACACTCTGGGAGTGTGTCTGTCTTGCTTGCTGTTGAAAGCTCCAGGCTCAGCGTAGCTGTGGCACACAGTAGGTGCTCAACAGGTGAGTTGTGGCATGAAGCAAGGGTCCATGCTCAGTGCCCCGTGAGGAGGCAGTTAATGGCAGTGATAATGGACAGAGTCCTCTACACGTAAGGGCTCTCTGTACAAATGCTGGCGTCACCGTGATCATCACAGACACACTCCCTTCCACGGCTCTGCTGAACTTAGTCGCCTGCAACCCAGGCTTCTTCCTGGGGGACATTAAGAGTCACACTCAGGTCTGGAGGCGACACCTGAGCTGTGCCCATTTAACCTACAGCTGATTCCACACTTAGAGCTCCTCACCCACCTCCACTCCCTGCTGAAAACCCACAGTCTAGACTCAGAGTGTGGGCTGCCTGCGTTGGGGTGGGCATGAAGGAACGGGGCCATTGGCAGATACTGGGATCCCTGAAGATCATCCTCGTTCTGCACGGATGTCTCAAAAGAAATTCCAGAACCTTGTGTGCGGGAAACCCCAAAAGAAGCAGGTACTAACCTCAGGGCTGATTTCTCATGGGATTATCTGGAGTTGGGCTGGGGTGGGGCGGGGGCAACCGTCAGGGCATGCGCCTTTTGTCTTTTACCTGTTTTTACCCTTGGAAACTTGGGAAGGGAGAGCGTTCCCCCTCCCCCAGGCAAGCGTTCCATCTGGGGCTCCCTGGCTTGTGAGTGAGCAGATGACCCACGTGGGGGTGGCCAGGGTGGGAGGCACTCAGCGTCCTGCCAGCCCGGCTCGACCCCCCTTCCCCATGCCTGGCAGGCTGGGCGCCCAGGGTCGGGGGGGGGGGGGGGGGGGGGGGGGGGCTGCCTCACCTATGTAGTCGCCCCTGGTGAAGGGCAGGGCTGGGTGAACGGTTCTCGTCTCCTGCTCGGCGGGCGGCGGCTCGTAACTGTCGTCCCCAGTCTCTTCCGCGGGGAGCACGTACATCTCCGAGTCCGAGTGCTCGTCTGGGTGTTCATAGTCGCTGTCCTGCAAATGCATACCGAATGCTCAGTGCCCTGTCTGTGCTCAGCCATCGAGACAGCTCTGGCGTTAGGAGGCGGGAGCTGCTCCCCCAGCGTAGGGACCAGAGAGCGAGGCTTGGAAGGGTTGGCTAAGCAAGGTTGGGCAGCCATCAGAGGCAAAGCTGGGGTTGAGGCCGGGCCTTTCTGCCTCCAGAATTTATCACCTGAACCACTATCCTGGGGGAGCATGTGGACCATTTAACAGGAAGGGTGGCTGAAACTCTGTGTGTCTGCAAAGAAGAACAGTCGGAGATAAAATACATTTTTAGAAGACAGAAAAAGGACGCAATAAAATAGAATAACCAATAGGTTTTGTTTATCATGAATGCTGACGGTTGAGGAAAAAGATTAATATGAAAGGGTAAAGGTTTGCATAGAATATACAGATACCTTTGAGGAGATGAGGTGTGTGTGTGTGTGTGTGTGTGTGTGTGTGTGTGTGTGTGTTTTAATAGAGCTGATAAGCTGCAGGGGCTAGGCTTCGACCTGACCCGGAGTCCATTCTCTTTCTTTTTGTTTTTCTTGTTTTAAAGATAAATTTTAGTTAAGTCTTCACTGAAATGATCGAATATTGAATATTCAATACGTATGGGAAATACATTCACACAACAATAGTTCAAAAGGATGTCAAGTCTCCTTCCCAGGCTCTCAGTTCTTCTCCCCAGAGGTGCAGTTCCTAGTTTCTTGGGCATTTTGTTCAGAGATCGCTTAGGCATACTACACCCATATGCATATTCCCGTGCAGGAAATATTTGATCCAGGACTTAAGAGGTCTTCTGTCCACACCGCCTGATACACTGCGTGATTCATACATGAGCTTCCAATGAATGCATGATGCACCTGCCTTTCGGCCTGTCTCCTTCCACCTGCAATCGCACAACACCGACGCAGGTACAGTGTGACACAAACACAGTGGTTCCTTCATTGTTGTCTCCTCGGGGCCTGTGGCAGGGACCAGCACAGGACAGGAGCGCAGTATGTTTGCAGCGAATGGATGAGCGAGTGAGTGAGGACCGCTTTCCTCCTGAGTCTGTAGGGACATGGAGGAGAGGACAGGAGAGGGAGAGGGTGAATAGCAGGAGAGGGAGAGAGAAAGGCGGCTGAAAAGGGAACTTTTCCCAAGGTGGTGGAGGAGAATTGGGAGAGAATAGAAGGAAGGAGGAGCTCAAGGAGGGTCCTTGTCCTTGTCCTAAAGCAGAAGAGTCAGGAAGGGACAGGGAGCGGGGAGGTAAGAGAAGTCTTGTACGGGGATTTTCCCAAACCCCTGTTTCAGTAACAGCAGACAGCGAGGCTCAATAATCCTTCCTGACCGTGAATATGAAATTAAGGTGAATAGAATAATGGGAATGATAACGATTATTTTAACATTTCTATGTACTGCATACCTCAGTTACCCTTTACCAGTATCATATGAGAAAAACTGAGGCATGAGGAGTTGAATAATTTGGGGCTGTTCTGTGTTCTGAAGAAGCAGTGACTGTTCTCAAACAGGCGGCCTGGAAGGTGGAGTGAGAGCAGAAAAGCAGCCCGAGGCAAGAACCCGGCTCTGAAAGTCTCATCTAGCCAGCCTGAAGTGGTCGGGGCCCCTCCTCATCCTGGGCAACCAAAAGGCCCGTCTCTGTGGCTGCAGCATCCCAGGGAGACAGCAGTGAACGCGCTGAGAAACGGGTGCTTCATAACCATCTGGAAAGTGAAAGAATCAGTAGGCGCCCAGACGCCTGTGCCTGGGAGGGGGAGACAGTTCAGGCGGCCCACTTTGTCTCAGTTTTCATCGGAGCAGGCACCGTGCTTCCCTAGACTTGATCACCTGGAGGCTGGGGAGCAGTGTGCCTCCTGGGAAGGACACAGGGGTCTTCACAGCCCCTTGGGCAGAGCAGCCTGACTGAGAGGACCAGGCTGGCCGAAGAGGCAGAGGAGGTTGAGGAGGGGCGCCTCTGCGTCAGCTGCTCTTGGCAGGCCAACGCTGACACGGGGCTGCCCATCAGACTGTAACGCCCATGAGGACTGGGCTGCGACCTCAAGAGCAATGGGAGGAGGGGTTCTACCTCGGCTGCAGGAAAGGCCTTCCTGAGAAGGAGACGTTTAAGCCAAGCCTGAAGGACAAGAAGGAGCAGAGCAAATGAGGGAGAATGGGGACGCCCTTTGGTTTCTCCTCTCTTCCCTCTTCCTTCTCCTGCCCAAGGTCCGTGAGTCAAATTGCCGAGCAGGCATGACCTTGACCTGCTGTGAGACTAAGGGCAGATCTGTGCATCTGGGCCGTAATGGACAAGGCCCTGCTGGGGGTGGTGGTGCAAGGAAGGCCGGACAGGTCCGCAGGGGCTGGATTTCATCTGGCCTGGAGACTACAAGCCTGGATTTCATTCTGTGTACAATGGGAATCCAATAAGGTCAAAATAATTGTGAGTGAATGTTTACTCAATCTGTATTACAGCAGGTATCTTAATTTTTTGGTTGTTTGGCTTTGGGACACAAGTCACGCTCTCCTCTCCAGGCTGACTCTATTTGTATTTTCTAAGTCCCTACCATGTGCTCTTTTTCTCCAGCCTGCGAGCTCCATTTTCTTGATTTCCCTGTGGTTGTGGACCAGCTCTCAACTTTGCTTCAGACGTGGCTGGGCGCGTGCGGCCAGCAGGGGGCGCAGCTGCAGCGCTTCGGAGGGACCAGCGGCTGCCGGGCCCTGGGAGGAACTCCACACCCAGCTGACCTGCAGAGAACCCCTGTCATCCCCTCTTTTTTACACATCTTCGCTCTGCAGTTGAGAAGGGAGATACTCCTGTCTCATAATACGTTGAATATACTCCAGGTGGTGTACACAGTGTGGATGGAGCTGGGCTCAGACTCAGTTCTGGGCACTGGACTGAAGTCCTGGGCTCTCATTACACTGGCCACTGAGTAACTGAATTTCTGTGTGCAAGTCCTTTTCATTCTCTTAGGCTTGGTTTCCTTATCTGTAAAAGGGGGTGTGTGGTTGTGTGGAGGCCCTCTTGGATCCTGTCCAGATAAAACACACGTAGAGTGGAGCAGGCTAACATTCTGGATGAATTCGATACAAATGAAGAATAATTGTTACAAAAAAGTTTTTAGGCTGTCTTGTCCCTACAAGACTTCACCCAAGAGAGCAGTGAGCACTGGGGCCCTGTGGGCTACAGAGCCACCTTGGAGAAGTTGACTGTTAATTCTGACACATCACCTTCCGTATCATCACGGCCAGGTCCCTTGCTCAGTCTGTGGCCCCCAGCATCTGCTACTGTCCTCTTGGTCACTGCAAGCACCTTAGAGTTTAAAAGCCAGGTTTTGAGACCTGAGGGCTTGGGTTGGAATTTTGGAACTGCAAGTTACTTAAACTCTCCATGCCTTGGTTTCTTTACCTGTAGAATGAGCAGGGCTGATATTCACAATGTTTGACAACTAGCATGGCTCAGGTCCCGACTTGGCCCTAAAGAGTGTCCCAGAGGCCCCCTGATGCGCCAGGCATTCACTCTTTGATGTTGGTTTTTGATGTTTGGCTCCTGGATAAGGCCCAGGCAGCGATGGGACACTGAGGAATTCAGGGCAGAGGCATTTGTCAACTGATATGGAAATATTTAAAAAACATTCTAACATGTGTTTTGGCTGTGCTGGTTAGTACTCTGAATACCAGCACTGAAGACAGGGATAAGAATGCCTGCACACAGGGCTGTGGGGAGGCTCACATGAGGTAATGCCGATGAAGCACTTAGCCTGGCACATGGGGGTGCTAGGTCAAGTCAGCCATCATGAGGTTCTTGCTGCCTTGTCTGTAGGTGGCCTTTCCAGCCCAGCCATCTCCCTGCTGGGATGTGCAGCTGACTATGAGCATGTAATTCAGAAACAAGCCCTTCAAAAGGCCTCCCACGGACCCTGGCGGAAAGGATGATCTTCTGATCCCAGGAGCAAATACTTACAAAGTCATCTGACCACTGCTCCTCTTCGTCAGCAAGGTCTTCTGCAGTGGCATGTGGGAAGCAGAAAGCACAGGCGTCAATCTCAGCTCCACCCTGTCCCCAAGCTCCCTGCGCCCACCTTCCTTGCCCCTGGGCTTCCTGGTCCTGTTTCCTTGGCCTTGAACGGTTATTACACATACCTCGTGTTCATCCACTTTCGACTCCTCTTTTTTGAAAAAATCAGTTCTCAAAGCATAAAGGGACGTTCCACTGAGCAGAGAAACGGTACATCTGAACCATGTCCATTTTTGTTAAGGAACACTTTTGGGACTTTAGAACGATCCGGGAGGCACCTGCAATCCGTACCATGCTGCTTCTAAGGATTCCTTTGAATCAATATATGGATGGTATAGTAGGAAGAGCACTGGACAGGGAGTCAGATAGACCAAAACTCTCATGCAGGCTCTGTTCTTAACTAGTTGGAGGGTAGGCAAGACAATTAACATCTCTGGGCCTCAGTTTTAAGATCTATGGGATCACTTCTGTGATTCTCTGTAGCTCTAACTTTGACTTTCTTATTGAAAAGCATTTACCCGGTGCTTTACTACACGCTGGGCAATATCATCAGAGTTTTGCACTCAATTAGCTCCCTCAAAACCTTACGAGGAAACTGAGCCCTAGAGAAAATAAGCCATTTGCCCAAGGTCAGATAGTAAATAATAGAGCCAGGAGTTGAACCCTGTAGGTAGACTTCCAAGTGCATGCTCTGAACTCCAATGTCACACTGCCTCACTGTCTTTGAGCTCCAGGGTTCAAGCCCTGTCCTCGGCTCTGCAGGCAGTGTAAAAATGGATATAACAGGTCTCAAGTAGCTGAGGATCTTGAAGAATAAAATTGATCTGAATTATGACAGCCAAGGAGAATATTTGACCCCCTTTACTCCAAAACACATTTAGAGTATGAGAAGCTTAGCATCCATCCCATCGCATACGCTGACATTAGAGGTTAAATACAATTTACTCAGCTATGTACAGATCAACCAGGCACAGGTCCAGAGGGCAGTGTGGCTCCAGTGACTATCCCATAGAGGCATCCCATTGCGCAGCCATGGCTAGAGGGCCCAGTGAATGGTCCCTGAATCCCCCAGAGCCTCTCTAGAATCTTTTCTTGCCATTTCTAGCTCCTGCTATGGCAGGCTACTGACTCCAGATCTGGGTAGACTCCAAAGAGGCACAAGGAAAAGAATTGCACATTAAAAATGGGGGCCTGTGCTCTGGAAAGCAGTGTGGAGGTTCCTCAGAAAATTAAATAGACCCTACCTGACCTTATTAGCACTGCTAGGAATTTGCCAAGGATACGGAGTACTGATGCATGAGGGGCACTTGGCCACCCCAATGTGACTACCAGCAGCACTCCTCATGATAGCCAAGTGAAAGAGCCTAAATGTCCATCAGCGGATGAATGGATAAAAAGAAATTGTGGTTCTTCACAATAGATACCTAAATTGGCAATGAGAAAAAGATAGAAATAAGGGCCTTTGCCTTAGCATGTCGATCTGGAACTGGAGAAAGTGTGATGCTAAGTGAAATAAGCCATAAGAGAAGATGGAAATGCCACTGGTTTCACCACTCTTATGTGGATCTGAGAAACTTAACAGGAACTCATGAGGGAGGAGGGAAAAAAAAAGGGAATAGAGTGGGGTAGCTATGAGGCTAATTAAACTGAGGAACAAATTGGGTTGAAATGGGGGGTGGGAGGAGGGAGGGTGGGTGATGGAGTATTGAGAGGCACCTTTTGGGATGACACTGGAGTGTTCATAAAACCAATTTGACAATAAATTTCATATATTGAAAGAAAAAATGGGGGCCTGAAGGGTGTTTAGATCAGTGGCGGTTACTAAGCTGTGGCAACAGCCAGCGCCCTCTTAGGAAAAAGCGATGGCTAGACAGAGCTTTTCTTCTGCCAAAATAATGGTCAAACTTTGACATTAACAGAAAAATTTATTAAGTTATGATTGGCCTCATGTATACCAAATTAGAGTATACTGCAACCACAGGGTTTTCGAAACTCCAGAAGAATAGATGACTAGTCCTCTTCTAATACCTGGCTTCAGCAGAATAGGTTCTAATACCTTAAGTTTGGGGATAGTGAAGAATCATGTACTTAAGGGGCCTAATGTTTTTGTTTCGACCTTTAAAATAGAAACATTTATAAATTGATGTTATAAATCACACCATGATCAGCCGTTACCTGCCAAACCTCTGAGGGTCACTTTAAGTCAGAACACTGCTCCAAAATTACTAGGAAGCTGTCTATGCTCCTTCTCCTGTCCCCATTATCTTTCTCCCATACTTCCATACTCCTGCCTTCTAGTCTTTTCTTTTTTTTTCAACTTTTTTTTTTTTTTTTTTTTTTTTTAGGACAGAGACAGAGCATGAGCAGGGGAGACAGAGAGGGGAGGCACAGGAGGCCGGAGGCTCACCTGGCTGGGCTCCGAGCCACCAGCCCAGAGCCAGCCGGGGGCGCCAAAGGCTCAGGACCATGAGATGGTGACCTGGCTGAAGTCGGACTGGCAACAAACTATGCCCAGGCGCCCCTCTAGTCATTTTCTTAAAATACAGTTTGAATCATGCTGCTCCTTTCCTCAAGAATCATCAGTAGCTCCCTATGGAGTGAAGTCAAGGCTCTATGTCAACACATCAAACGCCTTCATCTCCTGTCCCTCTCTGGACTTCTCTCGCACAGCCTTCCACGTTCACTGATACTGGAAGCATGTTCCTCCCAGCCTGCACTTTTGGTGGTTCTCCGCTCCGTTCACGCTGTTCCCCCAGACCCTGCTCCTGGGAAAGCCCTGTCATACCTCTGCCATACAATCTTCCCCAGTCCCTCAGGTTATAACCCACTACTGCTTCCTCTGGGAGGGACTCCTTCCTCCTCCCTCTTAGATGCTGCTGGCACCCTGACGACATAGGCACTGCATTCTGCCCTATGCTGGGATTCATTTGCTCGTGTCTCTCTATACCGAAAAGCAAGGCCTATTTAGTTTGCCTTTGTATCTGGATGACCCTTGGCATTTGTAATCCTGCGCAGTAATAAAAGTATGAACCAATAAATGAGTTGAATGAATGAAAATTAGGATAATAATAATAGATTGCATTTATTGAACACTTCCTGTGTGCTCAGCGCTAGGATAAGTGTACTTGCTCAATTATCCTCAAAATAGCACTTTGTGGTAGGTGCCCTTATGATCTCACTTTTGCAGTCGAGGAAACTGGGGCTAAGAGTGTCTGCAAAACCTGTCTGAGGCCACGTGGCTGGTGAATGTGGGGGGTAGACTGGGGGCCGGGGTACCTGTGTTGGCTCCTGCAGCTAAAATCTGATGTACACTGGGGCGCCTGGGTGGCGCAGTCGGTTAAGCGTCCGACTTCAGCCAGGTCACGATCTCGCGGTCCGGGAGTTCGGGCCCCGCGTCGGGCTCTGGGCTGATGGCTCGGAGCCTGGAGCCTGTTTCCGATTCTGTGTCTCCCTCTCTCTCTGCCCCTCCCCCGTTCATGCTCTGTCTCTCTCTGTCCCAAAAATAAATAAACGTTGCAAAAAAAAAAAAAAATTTTTTTTTAAAAATAAATAAATAAATAAATAAAATAAAATCTCATGTAAACTGCGTGGCCCTCTACTGTGGCTTCAGATAAAGCCTAGGAGAAACAGGATGGCCCGGTGCAGGTATCATGGGGCACTGAGGCAGAAAAGAGAGAAAAGCATCATCATGTGGGAGAGTTACCTGATGGTGCCCCGCCCACTACACCCATCCTACAGGCAGCTTGCAATCTCTTACTCATAAAATCACAGCCCTCATGCCATTTCCCAGACTGAAAAGCATGAGAGTCCAAAGAACTAGGTCCAAAGTAGGGGATGTCCAGAACCTCAGTGAGTCTCCTAATATGGTTGGTTGTGGTTTTAGAACCAGGCTCCCTGGGTTCAAATCCTGGCTCTGCTCTTTACTACCTGCTTGGCAGTGGACCGGTACTTTGTTTAAAGCTCAATTTCTCGCCAGGGCAACAAGGGTAGGAATAGTGCCTGCCTCATGTTTTTATGAGAATCAAGTAATACAATACATGTGAAGTGCTTCACAAAGCCTGGCATATAGTAAATGCTGTATTAATGTTACTTATTGTTTTCTCGGGTATTGATAATGTCTTAGTAAACCCTCAAAACAATATCAATTCTATTTCACTCTAATGGCAACCACACAGTATGGTTACCATTTAGAAATGGACCCCAGAGAGCCTCAAGTATAGAGGGTGATGTTTTCAGGAGGGTAAATTCAAGCGTAATACGGGCCGGGTGGTTTAACTTGAGATGTAAGGTTGCATGCAAGAACCTGGCAGGTTTCTTCCTGGCAGGAAGCTGAGATGCTGGCTCAGCCTCCTTTTTTTTTTTTTTAATTTTTTTTTTAAATTTTTTTTTTTTTTCAACGTTTATTTATTTTTGGGACAGAGAGAGACAGAGCATGAATGGGGGAGGGGCAGAGAGAGAGGGAGACACAGAATCGGAAACAGGCTCCAGGCTCTGAGCCATCAGCCCAGAGCCCGACGCGGGGCTCGAACTCACGGACCGCGAGATCGTGACCTGGCTGAAGTCGGACGCTTAACCGACTGCGCCACCCAGGCGCCCCTAGCTCAGCCTCCTTATTAGGGAAAGCCTTTTCTATTGTGTCGCGTTTCTGGCTTGTGCTCCATTTACGGTGTCACAATCCCACGCCACACAATGGAGGGACTCCTCCCCTTGCCTGGCCCAGGTTTTGTGATTCACATGCCCCACCCCACAAGCTTGTGGGCACAGCACTACGTGACATGTGAGAACGCCACGATGACCCCACCTCAGTGTGCACACTGGGGTTTTGAGCTTTGGGCTCTCAGGTCAGGCTGCCGTGATCAAAATCCCGATTCTGCCATTTGCTAGCAGTGTGACAGGCAAGTTGCTTAACCTCTGGATATCTGTTTTCTCGTCACTAAAACGGACATGACTAATAGTGCCTATATTATGGGGCTTTGAGAGAATGAAATAGCCCAGGGAAAGTGCACAGAAGGGTGCCTGATAGAAGTAAGGGCTCAACGGGAGCCGTGTGTGACTATCAATCTACTTTAATGATCATAATAACCTGAAGGATAGGTCGGCACTCTCATCTCCAAGCAGGAAGCTGAGGCTCAGGGAAGTTTTAAACTGTTCCAGGTTCACAGTGTTTAGGGGCCACAGCCAGGATTCTAACCCAGGGCTAAAGGACCCCAAAGTCCAAGATCTTCTCACTGAGCCATGGAGGGAATAGACCTAGAGTCTAGGAGGGCAGCCATGTATCACACTGATGACAACCCAGGGCAGTGTAAACTTTCCTGACAAATGTCCCTACACCTGGGATCATGGTCAGATGCTGGGAAAGCTCCAGGAAGGGTGCTGCATGAGCTCGCACAAGGCTGTGTGGTGGCAGTGGGACTGAACTGGGCCTTGAAGGACGAGCAGGACTTGAGTGACAGAATGAAGATGAAAGAGGGCATCCTCCTTCCATCTCTTAAGGCTGGGGCCTGTGTGTCAGCCCCAGAAGCAGGGCTTGGCTGATGGCTAGAAGGGGCATCCATAAGGCACAGAGGTGCCTGGAGTGAACGAGCTGCACTGGAGAGTCAGGGAAGAAAACAAAACCAGATTCGTTGCCAGCCAAGGGGGCGCTCCAACCACAGAGGCCACTGCAGGTCCCAGTGACAAGCTGGAGGTAGGGAGGCTGATGACGATGGCGTTTGAGTAGCTCAGGCATAAAGAGACGAAGGTTGAACCGGAGTAGGGTTCTTGGGAATGGGAAGGGATGGCTGGAAGGACGGTGAAGGACTCTGTGGCAAGAGCTTGAGGGAAGGGGTGAAGGCAAGGGTGTGGATTGGGCCTTTCCGTTCCAGAGCAGCAGCAGCACCAGAGACCAGCATTGAGAGACACGCACTCCAAACTGTGGGTCTGACACATGCTCAGTTGTAGCCCTGATTCAGCACTGGAGGCCACGTGCTGGGCCACTGGGCCTGCCAGCTTCTCCTCATGCAGAGCCGGTGGTGAGATGCAGGGAACCAGTGGGAAGACCGCAGTGGCACGCAGGAAAAGAAAGAGGGAAGGAGGCTGGACTAGATGTGGTGGTGGGGACAGACGCAGGGAAGGAACAGAAAGCAGAACTACAGAAGCTGTGGGGGAGGCAGCCGGTGGACAGTCCAGGACCACTGGGTGTACCCCAAGAGAAGAAAGGGATGTGACCATGTGGGGAGCAGATTTGGGCTGGCTAGGAGAGGTGATTTGCAACTAAATACTAACATCTCAGAAAGTCCCTTTGTCTGAATATCCCTTCAGCCCTTCCCAGAGCCCTGTTAACGGGGTGGATGTGCAGACACGGAGGGCTTAGCCCCAGCTTAGCCATCGCCTGGCTGTAGGGCCTTGGGCAGCCAGTTGGCCTGTCTGGGCTCCAGTTATCCCTAAGTGAGAAGCTAAGGTTGGGTGGTCTTTCAGGGCTTTCCAGCCTTAAAGGACTTTCAAGTCCAAGTTTTATTCCTCTATTCTTAGTTGCACGAGGCAGGACTGATGGTGCAAGCCGCTCTCCCCGTGTCAGCCTTGCGGGGTCCACCGGTCAGAGTGTAGCCAGGGAGATGAAAAACCGAGTGAATGCTGGCTTCGGTAAGGACAGCAGGGCAAGGGCAGAGCAGTGTTATATTTCCGATCTTTGGTGGCCAGAGGGTTGGGAGGCCCTGTGCTTCTGTGGTGGGCATTTGCCCAAGAATCTCTGTCTGACTACCTTCCTTTGTCCCGAGGTCTGTCCTCTTTGCAGTTGCTCAGATCGCCTCCCTGAATGACATCAGTGGTGGGAGGAGAATGATTACAACAGCCCCTGGGAATTAGGGCCCAAGGGTACAGGGAGGGGGGCCTGGTTCAGTTCTGACCGCTCAGGGGTTTGTGGAATGGCCAGGGAGCTTCAATCCACTAGCAGTGTGACCCTAGGCCAGTATCTGCCTATTGCCTTTCTTATCTATTATCTGCTCCCCACTAGTCATTAAGTACCTTAAGGTCAGGGGCTATAGTTTGTTCCCTACTCCATGTCTAGTAGCGTGAGCACCACGTGGGGCACACTTGTGTAATATTTGTTGAACGAGTCAAAGAATGTGTGCAACAGCGGAAGAAACTGGAGTTACCGAGTCCAGAGAAGAAACACTTCAAGTGACCTAATTTCCTAATTGTATCCTTGACGTTGCACAGACCCACTCTATTTCTCTTTTATTTGGTGTTTACAGACTTGTGCTGTGTGGCCATTAGGACACACTTAAGGAGCCACTAGGAAATGGATTGCATCTGTGTCCTGACGGAGCTGTCTGCCCTTGACAGGCCCAGGTAGGTGTGGGAGGTCACCACCGGAAACGTCCAAACAGAAAGTGGACCTCACTTGTGGCGCATGGTGGGGGGAGCAGGTGTAAGCACCGGATTGGATACAGGCTGTAGGACCCCTGGGGCTCCTTTTAAACCTGACACTCCATGATTCCATGACTTTCCTACCACAACTTGGGTTACTTAGCAGGTGTAGTCTGTTTTCTTGTTTAGAACTTGGGAGAGAAGAATGAATTTGTTCTCATTTGTTCACTAAGCAGCTCCCTTGACTTTTGATCGGGTAGATTTCAAAGGTCAGGACGGGGCATGTATGTATATATGTTTGTATCACTCTGTGACCCAGTGAGTTCTGGAAAGTGGTCCAACAGGTCAGTCACCAGACTTGGGTAGCTTGGGTCCTACACAACCTCCACCTCAGATTAGATTAGACATTGCTGTAAGGACTTTCATAAAACTTCGTGCTTCTCCATCACCCTGAACCCTAATTGCTTTTAGATCGTGAATGGATACTCTTCTTTGCTATAAATTCTATGAGTGTGGAGACTATATTTTTCTTGGTTAGCACTGTATCTCCACCTAAAACCTTGTATGTACCTGGCACATGGACAATACTTAATAAATGTCTGATAAGTAGATGAGTGGATGGATGGATGGATGGATGGAGTACTACATCCCCACTATAGTCAAATGCTTAATAGATTTGGGCATTAGGATAGGCACCTTTTATTTTCAAATGAGTAGAACATAGTTCCCTTTTCAAGAATTAAATATGAACATGAAATTAGTCAAGAGTCCAAGTATTTTAGAAATACTCTTACCTGAGGCATAGTCCCTTTGAGGAACACTTGGAGGTGCTTTGACTTTCAGCCTATAGATAACAACCATTAGACAAACGGTCAGTGGGTAGGACAACTGTTGTCAAGGCCCGTAATATAAGCAAATATAGGGATAACAGACAGATAACTAATAGAATAATGGCTTCTTTTGGACCCATCACATTGAAAGACTAAATGTATTATAAATGTAGTGAAGCCGTTGATCAGAGGTCTCCTAGCTCCCTCATCTCCCCAGTGTACAACGGGGCTGTGACTTGGCAAAGGTGAAGTCAGGTGGTGGGATATTCACCTGAGTTCAGAGCTTCAGGGAAGAAAATTGTTAACTGGTTGATAAGATGGTAATAGAAGATGAACTCTGTTTTAATAAATAACTCAATGCAGGACGCCTGGGTGGCTCAGCCAGTCAAGCGTCTGACTCTTGGTTTCTACTGTGGTCACGACCTCACGGTTTTGTGAGTTCGAGCCCCACATGGGGCTCTGTGCTGGCAACGCGGAGCCTTGCTTGGGATTCTCTCTCTCTGTCTCTCTCTGCCCCTCCCCGACTCATGCTGTCTCTGTCTCTCTCAAAAATAAACTTAAAAGAAATAAATTAATACCTCAGTGCTTTAAACAACAAGAAAAATATTAGTTATAATGAGCACTTCGGTTGTAGGTTGGACTGACACTATTTTTGCACTATTTAAAAAAAAAAAAAAAAAAAAAAGCCAAATAAGAGAGCAATGAGTGTTCCCGGGTGGGGATTGTGATATTTAGCTTACTTAGAAGTTGAACTGTTTCAAGCACTCTCAAAACTACTTTAGTATCTTTAGGCATATATAGAATGTTTGAATATTCACAATCCTTCCCTACTCATTACGAGAAGAAACTTAAAATTACATTTTAAAAATATACCCCAATTTTTAGGCTTTTTATAAGTTTTGACACCACCTCCCATTCTATTTCTAGTAAATTATTATTCTTACTAATAATTGCCCATTTTATTTAAGAATGATTTGCTTAAAGAAGTTTAAAAATATATAAATAGAACCTATATCCAGTAGCTTTTATTTACTAAAACATCACATCCTTTTACAGAGGCAGGATATAAGGTAACCATTACATGCAAAACATATTTCATTCCTTGGGGGGAAAAAAGCAGCACAGAAATTCATGTTTGATTACAAAAAATAAGCCTGATAAACCAGAATTGTAATGTTTCAAAAATAACAATTTTTATATTTGCATAGAAATTCTGCTTTTTGTTTGCCCCAAGGTTCTCAGATCAATTATTTCATTCAATTCTCATAGCAAGACAGGGTGTGCTGGGAAGATATTATCATTAGATGTATGACGAGGTCCAGAGACAGAGATGATCCTCGGTGTTATAGGGGGAAAAAAACCCTCAAAAACAAACAAGGAATGGTACCAGGTCTATTCCTGAAAGAGAAAAATTTTGAAAACTAACCATTCCCCTTTATTGCCATCATTTCATTAAAGAAAAGAAAGGTTATTTTAATATTCCCAAATGTATGAAGGTTATCATCTCCGAATAAAGGACAGACTCAGGAAAGGGCTGTTGGTCACTGAACACCGACCAGGAAGAAAAGCTGTGGTTTGGGCCTCACTCAGCAGCTGGCAGCTGCATGCCAACCCCCAACGCTTCAAGGTCCTTATTTTCTCATTTGGCCATGAACCAGTGACAACTCTGTCATGGTCTTGTGTTAGGAAACCAGCGTGTTCAACCGTGCTTCCTCCTTTCAAGGTAGCACCTGTTGCCTGGCAACGAGTAAGAGCTTAACTGCAGGTCCCTTAGAACCAAAGGGCCACTGACTTCACCCAGGGTAATGACTGTGGCAGCCAGATTTCCCAAGCTGAGAAGAAACATTTGTCAAGTACAAGTGCATTTTGGGAACAATGGGCATAAAAAAAATAGAAACTGTCTGAAAATATGTGAGCTCCGTGGCTACTGTGTAAGTATGACCGACCATGGAAAAGAGAGACATTTTATACAGAGGCTCCATGATTAAGAAAAGTCGTGTGTTATAAAACTAGCAACTGTGGGATAATTAATCTAGAATTGCTAGTGATTAAAACAATGACTCGCAGGCTTCTCTCATTTCAGTGAGATTCTGTATGTGTCAGAAGTATTAAATGAAAATAATCACATGCCTCTCCCTGCCACAGGACAGAACATGGAGACAAAGTCTCCTCCTCTAGGAGATGACCAGTTCCCCACAAGCAGACCGTTTTAACGATTTTATGATAATCACTTATACATATTGAGACTCATTTACATTTTATAGTCTAAAAACACCATAAAACATGATTTCTTTCAAGTTTAGCAAAGACCAAAGAATGAAGATATTCTGTTCTTTATATATATATAATATATATCACATATTTATATTACATATAATCTATACATATATATTTAATGTTTATTTATTTATTTTGAGAGAGAGAGTGCAAACAGGGGAGGGGCAGGGAGAGAGGGAGGCAGAGAATCCCAAGCAGGCTCCACACTGTCAGCACAGAGCCCAGTGTGGGGCTGGGACACAGGAACCACAAGATCATGACCTGTGAAGCTGAAATCAAGAGTTGGTCATTTAACCAACTGAGCCACCCAGATGCCCCTGAACATACTCTGTTCTGAAGGTATAGGTCAATGAACTTTTATACACAATTAGTGGTACAAAATTTTTGGAAAACAATTTGGTAATATCAACAAAAATGTCAAGGGCATAACTTCTTCAATCTAGAAATTTCATTTCAGGAATTTAGCTTTCTGCTATACTCAAAGTCTACAAAAACTATTTATTGAAATGTTATTTATGGCAGTTAAACTGAAAGAAATGGCCACAAAATTTTGATTGATCTTATCAAATTGCCCTCCAAGAATATATGCCTGTTTAAACTCCCACATCTCCCTCTCTTTAAAAAGTGTCCACCAGGGGCGCCTGGGTGGCTCAGTCAGTTAAGCCTCTGACTCTGATCTTGGCTCAGGTCATGATCTCAGTTTGTGAGATTGAGCCCCGTGGGATTCTCTCTGTCCCTCTCTCTCTGCCCCTCCCCTGCTCACGTGTGTGCACACACTCTCTCTCTCACAAAATAAATAAATAAAACTTAAAAAAATAAAAAGTGTCCACCAATACATAGCTGGTTAAATGAATGATAATGGATTTATAGCAGACTATTAATCAGCTATTCAAAAAGGAATATGGTTTATTTTTACATACTAACAAACAAAGATATCCATGATATAACATTAAGTAAAACCACTAAGCAAAGTCAGATTGGTAGAATGTTTTATGGAGAATAGCACCATTCATGATGAAAATGTATGTATGTATAGGTAAGTGCTACATCTATGTCAATATACGTGTGTGCGTGTGAAAATACATACATGTAGATATTTATGCCAGACTCACTCATGACAATTTCCATTGCCCTGGAGTGGGTTGATGTGGGGCATGGGGAAGGAGGAGATTTTGACTGTATGCAATTCTGAATTCTTTGATTTTTTTTCTCTTCTGGTGAATGACCACTACTTTCATTTTCTGAAAAAAAGAACTTAAACAAAAACTTAGTGGAATACCATCTCCCCTCTCCTCTTAACTTAGATTTTGAGTGACAAATATAGATATGTACAATTTTTATTTTCTTTTTTTAAAAAAACTTAAGAGTTTCTGATGTGCAGGAAGATTTGGAATTCTAGTTTCCTTTTCCAAATGCCAACTGAAAACACTATTTTGGGGTGCCTGGGTGGCTCAGTCAGCTAAGCATCTGACTTTGGTCAGGTCATGATCTCACAGTTCATGGGTTCAAGGCCCACATCGGGCTTTGCACTGACAGTACAGAGTCTGCTTGGGATTCTCTGTCTCCTTCTCTCTCTACCCCTCCCCTGCTCATGTTCTCTCTCTTTCTCAAAAATAAATAAACGTTAAAAAAATGTTTTTAAAGGGGTGCCTGAGTGGCTCAGTCATTTGAGCCTCCAACTTTGGCTCAGGTAATGATCTCACAGTTGACAAGTTCGAGCCCCACGACGGGCTCAGTGCTGACAGCTCAGAGCCTGGAGCCTGCTTCCGATTCTGTGTCTCTCTCTCTCTCTGCCCCTTCCCTGCTCATACTCTGTCTCTCTCTGTCTCAAAAATAAAGATTAAAAAAATTTTTTTAACTCCATTTTAAGGCTATAACTGAAAAAACAAAAATTGAAATATGGAAAACAGGTATGGCATCCTAAAGATGCTAGGGCTGTGTTCTTGTAACTTCTCTTTTGGATTTCTCCAACCATGTCCTAGTGGCCCTTAACTACATAGTTACAGAAGCTGATTTTCCTGTTTCTATAAAGGTCTTTGTTGACATTTGCCATCTTAAGTGGCATAGCTCACTTTTACTGCAATGAGAGGGGAAAGCAAAGGGCCCTGAGCATCACCCTGTTCATTTGCCATGTTTCCTGAACATAGATCTGACCACCATAGACTCTGGCCATGAGTTAGAAAGGGTTACATGCTAAAAAGGTTGCAACTCCTCACTCAGGTAACAGAGAACTTTGTCTTCTTCCACTTAGCACAGGCTGGGATGATGTGTTAATTATGTAAATGAGTGCTTATACAGTGCTATGGAGTTTAACTTACTTTTTGATCTTGTTCATTATTCCACCTTCATTGTTCTTGATGTCATGGACCATCTTTTGAAGTTGCCTGCAAGAAATAAAATCACACATAAAATATTAATAATAGGTTGATTTTTTTTTTAAGTCAAAAGGGAATACAAAAAGGAGAAAAAACCCTACAATAAGCCCCCAGTGAGAATCGTATCGTATTTAATCGACCATCCGCTACTTGAGTAAAGCAAAGCGTGACTGATAATGTAAGGAACGTGGTCATTGGGCCGTGTCCCTGTCCCCTGAATGTCTGGGCTCTGAAGAGAAATTCTGGTTTCCAGATCTATTCATTTTTAGGAGACACGGGAGGCAAAAGCCCTCTGAATAACCTCACTGTTCATCACTTATTGTCCTTAGAGCATTTGCACTGCCAGGATGGGGCTACCTTGAAGGACAGGTGGGCTGAAATCAGGCCCAAGAGTTCTTGGTTAACTTTACTAGGTTGAATCTGGAAAAACTGTCACTAGAAAGTTGTACCTACACAGAAGCCATAAGGAAAATGATTAATGAATCTGACTGCCTACACATTTGGAAATTCTGTAGAACAAAAGGAATATGCACAAGATCAGGAGATGAATGATGTGCTGGAAGAAATATTTGCAACACAAGAACAATAAGGACTACGTGTTTTGATTTACAAAGAAATCTTATGACTCAGTAAAAAAAGATGAATAATTCAATAGGAAATGGGCAAAACATGTGAACATACAGCTAACAGAAAAGGACGAGTGGCTAACAGATAACATGACTTATTTTTTAAGAAATTTGCATCTAAACAACGAGATATGTTCTGCTTTATCAAATTGGCAAAACTTAATGTGATAATACCCTGGGGCGGGGTGGCGGGCACACCAAAATATGGATATTCTTGGGAATGCAATTTGTGATGATTAATATCTGTTAAATTTTAAAACCTCCATGCCTTTTGACCCAGAAATTCTACTGCTAGGGATTTGCCATCCTGAACATGGTCATAAAACTATACCACTATGTACTATGTTATTTGTGTAATAACCCTAATCCTTCCTGCCTCCCCACTAAATAAAACCTGGAAACAACCTAAATGCCCATCAATCATTAAAAGGGAACTAGCTAAATAAACTTTGATAAAGCCATACAATGGAATACCACAGACCCTTAAAAAAAAAGAAAAAAAAAAAAAAGAAGCACACATCAGTATTGCTGATACATGAAAATCCCCAATACCTATTAAGTTACACAAATACGGTGAAGGAGAAAAAGAAAAAAGGAAGAAAGGAAGGGAAGTTCAGAATAATGTGTATGGTGTTTTTTTGTGCGATTGCAAAGGACATATACATTCATATGTGCTGGTAGGTGCATAATTTTTTAGAAAGATATGCAAGGAATTATTCAAAGAATGTTTTCAAAGTCAATACAATGTCCTCATACAAATTAGGAAAAGGTACCCTTTTTTCTGAGTGGACATTGCTCAGTGGCCAGGCACACAGCTTGGCAAATAGCGAAAGACAGATTTCAGTCTCTACTTGTCCTCATGGCTGGGTGCCCTTGTACCAATGGCAGAGCGAGGGCTGGAGGCTTGAGTGGGGATGAGGGCTTCTGCTTTATAAAAAGGAGACTTTCACTTTACAATGAAGATTTTTCTATATTAGTTGAATGTTCATAGCTTGTGCATCTATCATTTTATTATCTGTTTTTATATACATAAATAGAGGAAAATGTTAAAAGTTGGAATCTTGGGCCATGGTTTTTTCCTTCATAACTCTCTGACTTAAAAAAATATATATGTAAGTATGTTACTTATATATATTTACATTTACATGTAAATATATCTAATAAATATGTTCACATATTATATATAATACACATTTACATATTATAGTGTATATGTAAATAATGGTGTGTATAAATATATTATTTCTATTTATATGTAAATGTAAATTATGTATGTATAATTTCACACGGTTCTGCCCTGAAAGAGTAGGATAGCCGAATTTACCCTTCAGGCAAGCCTTTGCTTTGTTCTGAGGAAACCATTTGATTGGGCCCTATAGTTATCAAAACGTAAATCTTGTCCACAGCCATCGCTCTTGGAGAAACCTATTTCCCGCAAACCTGCATGCACACTTCTCTTGCTCTCGGAGCTAGGCCTTGCGTTAGGTAATATGAACAGTGGTGCACAATTCAGCTTGGCAGAGGCCTCCAAAACCCTGTTGACTGTGGGGGGGAATCCGGGGAAATAATCTCTGGCTCAGCACGGATTTAGGACGCACATGTTGCAAAGCTCTTCAGTGTGGGTGGAGGAGTTTAGAGCAGGGAGGAGGCTTGGGGTGGGGGGGCCTCTGCCTGGCCAGCCTGTTGGCGTCTGCAGCTAAGTGTTAATTTAAGGCTAACTAACCCATCTAGGTTGCTGTTCTGCTGTAGTTGTTTACTGAGGGGCCCTTGGGCACTAAGGAGTGGGGTGAGATTTACCGGGTAGGGATGGACCCTCTTACCCTCAACTATTTTGGGAAAAGGAAAGTTCTCAAAGGAATGGGAACTTGTCCTGGGGATCTTAGGGAGTTCTCTCCCCTTCTCCCTCTAATGATTGTTAGGAACTAATACTGAAGAACAACCACTGAAGTGGTGGAGAGGAGGGAAGGGATGGATACAAGGGTGGAGTGTTGGCTGGAACCTGAGGCTGGGTCTGGGCTCCAGCTCTGAGAAGAGCCATGCCGGGCACCATCACTAGGCATTTGCACCAAGACAATTCCTCTCCATTGCCCCTGAATGTTCAGCGGTATCCTGTTTATCCTGTTGCAGCCTCTGGGCTGTGGGCAAGGGTGTGTTCCATGGCGTGAAGAGCTGAGTGCACAGGGAACACGGCTGGAAGATGGAGTAGCAGAAGAGAAACTTCTTTTAGGACATCCTTTAGGCTACATCTTGGGGAACTGTCTTCAGAACTGGGGGACCCACTGAGGGGCCCATGTTGGGAGGTGGGGAGGGGTCGGAGCCAAGCAGTAATCTGGGTAACAAAGGAAATGAGATGGCGTTTTCTATCCCCAGTTAAGGAGGCTGTGCTCACAGATTCTACTCATGAGAACTCAGCAGAGCACCAGGCTCAGCGGCGGGGAGACGAGAATGGATGAGGGTGAAGGAGGACCACATGCCCAACCGAGGTACACAGAGGGTCCCTAAAGCTCGACCTTTGAGCTGCTTCGGAACTCCTCGGGATTCTAGAGTTTGTTCACATATAACCTGTGCCTACCACTCCCCCCCCCCCCATCTCCTTTTCCTGCAGAACTATAGGGAATCTCTGAGACAGAGGAATGAGGGAAAATGGGAGAGAAGATGTCCGGGCACAAGAGAAAGAGACACAGAGAGCGAAGCTGGAATGGTTTGATTGGGAAGCAATGTAATCATTTCCAGTGCAGAGCAGAGGGCATCTCCCGCTGTAAGCTGATGTAACTGAACGGAATGCCTTTAGACTAAATTAAACCTTAACCAGGTTTAAGGACAAGATGAGCCAGAGTGAAGGATGCTGTCTGAAATTTGTCAGCAGCGAGACACAGACAGAGTAAGAGGGAGCCAGGGGCTGATTTGTATAAGCAACTTTGCTGCAGGTGTAGACAAACAGGCGTAAATTGTTGCAAAAGAGTTTCATGTAATTCTGTCATTTGCTCAAGTTGGTATTTGATACTTCTTGGCCTTTCTTAAGTTATTTTCACTATAGATTTTTTTTTAACGTTTATTTATTTATTTATTTTTGAGACAGAGAGAGACAGAGCATGAACGGGGGAGGAGCAGAGAGAGAGGGAGACACAGAATCTTAAGCAGGCTCCAGGCTCTGAGCTGTCAGCACAGACCCCGACACGGGGCTCGAACTCACGGACCTGCGAGATCATGACCTGAGCTGAAGTCGGCCGCTTAACCGACTAAGCCACCCAGGTGCCCCTCATTATAGATTATTAAAATAATCAGTTGCTTCATAAATTATGCTTCTTGTGTTCAAAACTTTTCCCCTCCCTCTGCCTCTCGTTCACACAACACTTGAGGCTCACAGACTGCTGTTTCAGCAGCCAAGTGTCTGTTACCTGGAAAAACAGTGTCCGCCAAACCAAGAAGACCTGGGGATGCTCTCAGCTCCTTTTATCAACTATTCACACGCTGCCTGATGCACAGCTTTCCTGCTCTCTGGTACCGTCTTTGGGGCCCTTTTTTCCCCCCTCTACTACAACATAAAGCACATGCAAAGGCATGTGCAGCTGGACTGTTCCCAGATTTAAATACCAGCGGTCTCACTGTGAGAAGTCGCGTGTAGGTGAAAATAGGCAAAAAAAAAAAAAAAAAAAAAAAA